TTTCATTCATCATTTTATAGTACACAAATATTGAAGAGGAATATTTACAGAAAATCACTCTACCGTATTTTTATGATTTTAAAGGGTGTAGTATGTTCGTATAAGCCACACTGACTTACCACAGGTGAGATCCTACTCTTATTTTCATTCATATTTTTACAGTATACAAATATTGAAGAAAAATATTTACAGTAAAACAACCCTACTATAATCTCATGGTATTAAAGGGTGTAGTACATTCACAGAGACCTCACTAACTTACTACAGGTGAGCTTTTACTCATATTTTCATTCATAATTTAATATAGTACACAAATATTTAATAATAATATTTACAGTAAATCACCCTACTGTAATTTTTATTTTAAAGGATGTTGTGCATTCACATAGGACAGACTGGCTTACTACAGGTGAGATTTTACCCATATTTTTATTCAGATTTGTACAGAACACACATATTGAAGAAGAATATTTACAGTAAATCACCCTACAGTAATTTCATAATATTAAAAGGTGTAGTACATTCACAGAGACCTCACTAACTTATACAGGTGAGATTTTACTCATATTTTCATTCATATTTGTACAGTATACAAATATTGAAGAAAAATATTTACAGTAAATCACCCTACTGTCATTTCATGTTCACAACTGACATTTTTTCAACCGCATTTCAACGATGAAGCCTGGCCATATGCGGGCTGTTTTTCAACCTTTCAACATTCAACGTTGTACCAACCTTATTTCAACGTTCAAAACACATTTGTCCTTATTTCAACCTTATTTCAAGGTTTAAGGTCGGTCGTGCCGGCTGGGAACCGACGTTGCCTATAATGAGTTAACCGTTGTGAATGAGTTAAGGTAAGCACATTAAACAATGTCCAATCGTGCACTTGCACACTGATTCATCATGGATAATGTATTCAATCCCTGCAAATTTGAACTATCCCAGGTTTCTCTTATGAAGTTGTAGTCATGCTGCAACACGCAAAAACGCCAGCAGGGGGTGATATGCGTTAATAGGGATGTTGTAAAAACACTGGTTCTGTTATAGGATTTGACCATGTAATTTCTGTAAATACCTCCTACTACGTAAAGAGGAAGCATATGACTAAAACAGAAACTGATATGAGCATTCATACTACTCAACACTCAGCTGAGTTGGTCTACAGCCAAAAGAAGTCATTTATTTATCTTTAAGTCAGTGCACCGGATGCTTCAGTCTATAAACCTGTAAGTACCCATTTATATTTTTAAATAATATAAATGCTGTTTATGATGTTAATATTTTCTTTCTTTCTTTAATAATGTTAATGATACTGATTATTTTATTTAGCACAGATTTTCTAATTTAGCCTTTGAATATGCTACAAGATTTCCAATTTATTTAGTATGCGTGATATTTAATCATATAATTTATATTGAATAATTCCTTAAAAGTTCATAATATAAAAATATATTTGCATTTATAATCTTGTAACACTCTGTAAAACGTGATAAGATCACTTAATTTGTTGAATTAGACACATTGTTTATTTACTGAATAATTTTAAGGCAATGGTTTTACTCTCTCAAGTCAAGTTAATCGTTGTATATTGTTTTACATACTAATAAAAGAGATTATTAGATAAGACAAGATAGATTTATTTGGAAGAAACTGCACTATTTTGGCCATTGAGTAAAATGTATTGTATGGTGCATTGTAAATAAAATTCACCTCACTTTTTACATCTTCGGGTAAAACCGAACTTTCTTTTTTTTTCGTGAACCTGGATTTTGCATCTCTCAGTAGATTCATGAGAGTCTCAATGATCAATATGCTATAGAAGTACTTAGAGAGGTTTTCAAAAACATCCACACTAGGGCTGCACGATACTGGAAAACTGTGACATCGCGATATTTTGTATTTCTGCAATATATATTGCGGTATACAGTATCTATACAAGTCAAGCAAATGATTCAATAGCGATATTTAGAAATTATTTTTGGTCACATTATTTTAAAGTTCAACTTTTAGCAAACCATTATGACTTTTGCTTCAATAAACCCCTAATTCGCGCCTTATTAATAGTAATTAAGGTAGTTTAGGAATTGGATATAGGATTAGGGATGTAGAATAAGGTCATACAGAATATGTGCTTTAGAAGTATACTAAGCAGCAGGCAATAGCTCAATAACCACTGCATAACCCAACAGTCAACTTTATCAAATTAAATGTTATGTTGAAATGTTAAAGTTGAAATGAAATACATTTTAAGTGTACTCTGTTAAAATAGTTTGATTAAAAATACCCCAACATATAACCCAACTATAGGTTACTATAGTACCTTCCCAACTAAAGGTTATTTTAACCCAATGCATTGGGTTATATAATTTATCCCAATGCATTGGGTTATTTTGATTAAATGTTATTTTTTTTCCATTCTGGTATTACTATTACTACTATTTATTTTATAATTATGGCTGTGTAAATAAATAATTGTCTAAGCTGTGTCCTAAAGGTGAGAATGATGGCTGAATATCCCAAATATGAGTATCATTTATTTAAAAAAAAAAAAAAAAAAAACGTAGAGATGAACACGTGAGGTAGAGAAATCACTTTATCCATTTAATATAGACCGGCTATGAAGTGGGCGTTTGCATCATCAATAATTAAGAGTGCTGGTGAAACAGAAATAAAAAAAACAACAGGGAGAGGTAATTTGTTAAATATATATATATATATATATATATATATATATATATATATATATATATATATATATATATATATATATATATATATATATATATATATATTATTGCTCTAAAGCTTAAACTTTATAACGCAAAAACAAAACTTTGCACGAATATTAATACAGCGGTTTTGTGTCAGTTAAATCAGTTGACTGTTGAAATTGAAAAGTTTAACCCAACTGGTTGAGTTATAATATAAATAACCCAATAAAGGTTATATATAACCCAACAAAGCACCAAATATTTAACCCAACTGGTTGAGTTAATAATAAATAACCTAATAAAGGTTCAAAATAACCCAACAAAGCAGCAAATACGTCTAACTCAACCATTGGGTTAAATAAATAACTCAACATTTCTTAGTGTGTAGTTAGTTGACTCAACATTTACTGAAAGTGAATTCTACTCATATGAAAATTAAATACCTCATTAGCAGGGCCAGATGGAATCTGCGGATGGTTTTTTTTGCCATTTCTGCAGAGAATTTTGGTAAAAATCTGCAGATTTCTGTGGAATTATTTTGGGAGAATCGTAACTAAAGACCTTATTTATTGAAATAAAAAGTAATACCTTTTAAACTTTGATTTAATGTTTAAATTGCAAATCTAACTAGATTCACTTTATTTGGTAAACAAAGCAAGTCTCTCATATAATATATCTACTAAAAGACAAAAAAATATAAAACTGTACAAACTGTACTGTATATAAATCAAATGAAGATTTTCATATTAGTCAATAATAGTACTGTAATTAGTTAATAAAGTTAATAAAATTTAGATAATAATAGATAGATCAGTTAATACATTTAGATTTACACACATTTATTCAAGTAAATAAACAGAATTAAAGATGGGCTAAAAATCTGCCGAAATCTGCGGAATTCTATGGAAAATCAGCGGAATTCTGCGCACACAAATTCCGTGTGGGCCTACTCATTACTTCAAGTTAAATGGAGTAAGTTCACAGTACTTATATAGATTAGTTTTTGAACTTAAAGGGCTCTATTTTGACGGTCCATGCGCAGAGCGCAAAACGCAGGGCGCAAACGCTTTCAGGGCGCTTTCAGTTGCGTTTTTGCTAATTTAAGGATGGGAAAATCTGCTTTGCGCCGTGGCACATGGTCTAAAAGGGTTGAGTTTATTTTCTTAATGAGTTATAAGTGTGTTTTGAGAATAAACCAATTAGAGTCTCATCTCCCATTCCCTTTAAGAGCCAGCTGCGTCGCGCCAAGAGCACATTCGCTATTTACAGGACGCAAAGTAAGTCTAAATGGAAAAAATGAGCACTTCACTAGCAAACAGTTAACAGTTTTTTTTTTACAGAAAACTGTTAAACAGAGCATCTACTGCGTAAGAATGAGAGATAATGGATCACTTTCACATTCGCTCTTGGATAGGGAAACCTTTACGCACAGACATCAATTAGTCTATAAATAAATAATTTTGTTTGTTAATCGCTTACAAAACGTTTCAAAACTTCAGTTCTAATTTCCAGCAAACAAATAAATGAACAATAATAACAAAATGTGCTCAAAAACCTGAGTTATATCCTAAAACACATGCTGTGCCCCATATGGTCTAAAACCTGACAGGTGGGCAAATCTAAGCTTGTTTTTAATAAAACAAATATAAATATGGATATAATAAATAATGCTGCTAATAAAAATAACATTATACAAAAGCAAATTGTTATGAATGAACTGAAAAAGCCTCCAGAGATGAAGAAGACATAAAAGCAGTGATTTTTTATATTTATGTAGGCTAGAAAATAATATGTTTTGTAATATTTTAATACTTTATATTTATATCCTTTATCTATTCTTAATATATCCTATATATATCCTTAATATGTAAATTTTTTCATATGTAAAGATATTTGCCTATTGCTCTCTTGTGCGTATTAAGCAGTGTGTAAGCGAGGCGCAACTCTGCGCCGGAGTTTAGAGCGGGTTAGTTTTGGTCTAATGAAAAATCTATTATAGTTTCTCAAAATAGCAACAATGAGCAGTGCCCCTCAGAACGCCTTCTTTTTTAGACCAGAACGCCTATGGGTGCACATATGAGCGCTAATGCATTTGCTATTTAAACCGCGTAGCGCAACGCCTCAAAACGACTCTTGCGCCAAGCTGAAACTACCAAAAGACTACTGTGCCGCGTCTTGCGCCACACTGCGCCGAGTGTATGATAGGGCCCAAATGGTTTAATGCAATCAGTTTCCTCAAACATTTTGAGTTACCTTAACTTTTTGGGTTTTACAGAGTAGCAACTAAGTAATAGTGAGAATTGGTCCTTAAAGTGTTACCAAATGTATTCATTTAGGTTGAATAGAGCAGTGAATCATGCATAAAATGTAATAAACGAATTACAAGCATAGACACATGCAATGAATCAAAGATGTGTAAATGTAAAAATTACACTGCAAAGTCAACTCAGCATTGCAGATCTATGCGATGTGACTGATGCACACATTCCTATATCGATGCTGAAACAATATATTGTGCAGCCCTAATTCACACACACACAGTAACTTTCTTCAGTTCTTAATAAACTAACATTGCTAAAATCTGTCTGATACTTATTTTGACTCAACAGCTCAACGTCTCGAAGGACAGACCATGTCGAATCACTCCGAAGTGGGGATTTACCTGAGCTCTCACACAGAGAACATCCTGCTTGCAGTCTTCTACATGCTCGTCTTCATCCTCTCAGTCCCAAGCAATGCTCTGGCCCTATGGTTGTTCTGCCATCGCAACACCACCAAAACGCCTTCAAAAGTGTATTTGAAGCACCTGGCAATAGCGGATATGTCCTACATATTAGTGCTCCCCATGCGAGTGATCTATCACCTGTCTGACTGTCATTGGCCTCTTGGCGAAGTGGCTTGTCGCGTAGCGGGCTTCCTGTTTTATGTCAACCTCTACTGCAGCATGTACTTTATGGCCTGCATCAGCGTGGATCGATTGTTGGCTTGCGTTTTACCCCACAAAGCTAAAAACATGCGAAAGACCAGGAATTCCAATGTGGTCTGTGCGGTCCTGTGGGTCATGGTGACCATTTCCATGATGCCCGTCCTGTTCTCCAGAAGCCAAGTGACTAGAGAATGGCAGAACGTGACAGTATGTGAAAAGCTATACATAGAGACGTCTTCCAATCCCACTGGAGCACTGGTGTCAATCGCTGTTTCATTCCTCGTTCCTTTGGTTATTTTGAGTGTTTCTTATATTCTGATATTTTGGAGGGTCAAACAAATGACTTTTCAAGAACAGACGCCTGCACAGCGCAAGGCCATGAGAATGATTGTACTTACGGTGGTCAACTTTGTGATTGCTTTTGTGCCGTATCACATTCACAGATTGTTTTTTATCAAACAGCATGAGGACATGTCAAGGTCAGAATCAGAAAGACGAATGCTGTATCTGGGAAATCGTATTACCTCAGCTTTGACGTGCGTCAGTGGTGTGTTGGATCCTGTCATGTACTTCTTTCTGGCTAGAAATTACCAAGAGACCTTGCTGCAGCTCTGTGGAAAAAGCCCCAAATATGAGCAATCCACCACATGATCAGACTGGAAAGGTCTCTTGACATCTTCTCTGCTGTTCTTACGCAGCCCTCGGGCATAACTGAACTCAGTATCACACGTGAGTTAAAGTGAAACTGGAAGAGCTTCATGGAGTTCATCATTACATTCAGAAACATAGCACACACTTTGATTCCTTTCACAACAAATGTGAAACTCATATTTAGAGATGAGAGTGTGTCATATGACAAGGTTATTATCCCTCATGTGAAATTATTCTTCTTTTTCCAAAAATTCCCAAAGTGCTGTTCAATGTAGAGACATTGTCAACACAGTTTTAAACATCATACATATACATACACACACACACACTACCTGTTTTAGAAACAACAAATAGTAACTTAATTTCTAGTTGATTATTTGGTATCAGAAGTGGCTCACATGAAAGCCAAAGGCCTCTAGATTACAATTATTTTACCAAAATAAATATGATCCTGCCATGATTTTTAATTATTTAATTAAGTCAGTAAGGTCTGACTTTGCTTAGACAAAGGTCTTGTCACTTAACAGAAATAATGTACTGTATAAAATATAAAGTCATGGTGCAGTGGAAAAATAGTTAATAATGTGTATGACTCCCATGAGCTTGGAGGACTGCATGCATACATCTCTGCAATGACTCAAATAGCTTATTAATAAACTCATCTAAGGGCAAAGAAAGCTTTGGATTTATCTTCAGTGGCTCCTCCTTCATCTCACCCCAGACATGCTCAATAATGTTCAAGTCTGGTAACTGGGCTGGCCAATCCTAGAGCACCTTGACCTCCTTTGCTTTCAGGAACTTTGATGTGGAGGCTGAAGAATGAGGAGCGCTGACCTGCTGAAGAATTTGCCCTCTCCTGTGCTTTGTAATGTAATGGGCAGCACAAATGTCTTGATACCTCAGGCTGTGGATGTTGCCATCCACTTTTAAGGGATCAAACCCAGTCTGGCCATAGTCTGCACATGCTCATGCCATCAGGCAGGCATTACAGAAGCCTGAGGAGCAAATCAGTGCGGTATCGTGATAGTTTTTATCCTGTCATTATAAGACATGTGAATAATATGGTACACTCTCAGATATAAAGGTATCACTGTCACTGGGGTGGTACCTTTTCAATAGGTACACATTTGTACTTCAAGGTAATACATTGTAATATTGATACCTTAAAAGTATATGTTAGTACCAAAATTTTTAAGAGGAACACTTTTGTACTTTTTAGGTTCTAATGTGTACCCTTGAGGTATTAATAAGGACCTTTAAGGTACAAATTTGTATCTTTTGAAAAGGTACCACCCCAGTGACAGCTCGTGTACCTTTATTTCTAAGAGTGTATTTTAAATACTATTCAATAGCCAGTATGGAATAATAAATCAATAAATAGTTAAATTTGCACAAAATGTTAATATTATAACTAATATTCTGCAATACTTATTTAAGTATTAATTTATTCCTTTCTGTGATTTTTTTAAAAGACAAAAATAAATGTATATATTATATATATATATATATATATATATATATATATATATATATATATATATATATATACACATACATACATACATACATACATACATACATACATACATACATACATACATACATACATACATATATATATATATATATATATATATATATATATGCAGATATGCAGCTCCAAAAAAAATCATACACCTTGAAAGAATTGCTTTATTTTTCATATAATCAAATTGCGTTCCAAATTACTTTTCCAGCCTTTGAAATGTTTTGTAGCCTTCTCCATGGTGTAATGTGAGCAAAGGTATGCACTAAAAGACTGTCTCTAAAAGAAAAGTATTATACGAAATTCTTTAAAAAGAAAAGATTCACTCTTTTGTTGCAAAAAAAAAAAAAAAAAAAAACTCTTGCTCTTCCTCAATTGGCAAATATATGAAAAATAATTAATATTTAACAGGAAGAATAATAATTTTGTCTTCAACTTTAGAGGTGTGACAGGATTAGCTCTATTTACCTTTTTGTGTCAATATTTTTAATATATTCAGTAACTAATTTATGATTTATCAATGTTTTGTATGTGTTACAGTGCTTGTTTGTGTAATACAGTGCAATACAGCTTTAGTTGTTTTTTTTTCTGTCGTTCTTTTCTGTGCATTTCAATGATTGGAAGATTGGTGGATTGGAAGGAATACAATATAAAGACTGTGTATACTTTTTTGTTAAATCAACTTTGCAATATTTAAACCACTTAGTTTTGTCAATTTACCATGAATATATATTTAATATGTTAATATATTCTTGTATGTATTTTAATAGCTACAGTAATAATAAATATGTAGTTTCCATAAAAAGTGTTTTGTTTTTATACAAATATTTGTTTTACGCTAACTGACAATGTTAGTTTTTACACTGAATGAGGTTGGCCAGAAGACAGAGAATGACAGTAGTCTGTTTCACTAAATGTGCTTTAATAATAACCCTGTGTAAATAAAAATAAAAAAGCCATGACATTAAATACAGGGCGACATGGAGGCTCAGTGGTTAGCACTGTCACCTCACAGCAAGAGGTTCGCTGTTTCGAGTCCCGGCTGGGACAGTGGGCATTTCTTTATGTAGTTTGCATGTTTTCCCCGTGTTGTCATGGGTTTCCTCAGAGTGCTCCGGTTTTCCCCACTGTACAAAGACATGCAATATAGATGAACTGGATAAACTAAATTGGCAATAGTGTATGTGTGTGAATGAGTGTGTATGGGTGTTTCGCAGTACTGGGTTGCAGCTGGAAGGGCATCCACTGAGTAAAACATATGATGGATAAGCATTTCATGGCGACCCCTGATAAATAAAGGGACTAAGCTGAAATGAAAATGAATGAATGAAGTTGGCGGTTCATTTCGCTGTGGTGACCCCTGATTAATAAAGGGGACTAAACCAAAGGAAAATGAATGGATGAATGACATATTATACAAAACATAAAAATAAAATCTTCTGAAATATTAATGCTTATATGAATAGGGTTAACACATATCTGTGTCAGTGCTAAATATTCCTCATTTATCTGAAAAATATGAAGATACACTGATACTGTATTTCAGTGCAATCAGTAACAGGGAATTTTATGTACACTAAAATGCCGAACACGGCGATGCAGTGGTGCAGTAGGTAGTGCTGTCGCCTCACAGCAAGAAGGTCGCTGGTTCGAGCCTCGGCTGAGTCAGTTGGCGTTTCTGTGTGGAGTTTGCATGTTCTCCCTGCGTTTGCGTGGGTTTCTTCCAGGTTTCCCCCACAGTCCAAACATTTACATTTAGTCATTTAGCAGACGCTTTTATCCAAAGCGACTTACAAATGAGGACTAGGATGCAATTTACACAACTATAAGAGCAACAATAAATAAGTGCTATAGGCAAAGTATTAGTAAAAAGTTTTTTTTTTTTTTTTTTTTTTTTAGTACAGTTAGTGGTATATCCAGAGAGGCAATTGCAGATTAGGAAGTAAAGAGGAGACAAAACATCAAAACATCAAGTGACTCTGCTGTTCTGATGCAGTTAGGGAGTTCATTCCACCAACTGGGCAGATTGAGCGTGAGCGTGAGCGAAAGTGATTTCTTCCCTGTTTGGGATGGAACCACGAAGCGACGTTCATTCACAGAACGTAAGTTTCTGGAGGGGACATAAATCTGCAGAAGTGAGAGCAGATAAGAAGGGGCGCAGCCAGAAGTCGCTTTGTAGGCAAACATCAGAGCTTTGAATTTGATGCGAGCAGCAACTGGCAGCCAGTGCAAACGGATGAGTAGCGGAGTGACATGTGCTCTTTTAGGTTTATTGAAAACCACTCGTGCAGCTGCGTTCTGGAGCAGCTGAAGAGGCTTGATAGAGTTAGCTGGGAGCCCGGCTAGTAGAGAGTTGCAGTAGTCCAGTTTGGAGAGAACAAGAGCTTGAACAAGGAGCTGAGTTGCATGTTCAGATAAGAAGGGTCGGATCTTTCTGATGTTATAGAGTGCGAATCTGCACGATCGAGCAGTTCTAGAAATGTGGTCAGAGAAGTTTAGTTGGTCATCAATCGTTACTCCAAGGCTTTTCACCATTTTGGATGCAGTAATGGTTGCCCAGTCCATCTGGATTGAAAAGTTATGGCCGTTTTTGCGAGGTTAAGCTGAAGATGATGATCTTTCATCCAGTGTGAAATGTCCAAGACATGTGGTATAGGTGAATTGGGGCTAAATTGTACGTAGTGTTTGAGTGTGTGCGAATGAGTGTGTGTGGATGTTTCCCAGGGATAGGTTGGGGCTGTGTAGAAAACATAACTCTTTTTTTTTTCTTTTCTCAGAGTTATCCTTGATTCTCTAGTATGTTGTGTAGGTTTTGCCTAAAGAGATGTTAAATCGTTTACCTTACAGTCGTTCTTTACTCTATATATTTTAATATTACAATTTTATTATGCTCTGTCAAATTATATAATAACCGAAACTGGCCTTTGAGGAGATGTATTTTGTATACTAATGAAGCATTTTGCAGAAGGAGCTATCTTGGACAAGAAATATGCAGCAGAAACAAACAAAAAAAAAAAACATGCGTCTCTCGCCTCTGATTTCCTGTGTAACCATTTATGAAAACATATTGGAGCCTATGGAGGTCTCTAAGCATGTGCATTTAACTGGTTCAGTTCCTCTGTGCAGAAAAGAGGAACTAGAGATGGTGCAGAAAAGCTGACAGAGACAACCCACCTTCTCCTTCTTCTGTGTATATAAACTGGGTCTTTAGTCTTAAGAGAACACTCGCAGAGCGCCTGGTGTGTTCTCTTGGATAGCATTGTATAACCAATAGGACACATTTGTGCGACACAGGGCCCTAACCGAATTATTCATTTGTATTTGATAAATTACTAATATTTTTTAAATTGATCTCCACCTCCTGAGTTTGTATTGAACACGCATGGAATTGATTATAAATTCCAACAGCTGAAAGGGCATCAGCAGCGTAAAAAACGTATTGGATAAGTTGGTGGTTCATTTCGCTGTGGCGACCCTAGATTAGTAAAGGGACTAAGCTGAAAAGAAAATGAATGAATGCCGAACAAAGATTAGACTGCAGCATATATTAAAGGCTTTGTTACTTACATGTATATCAAAAGGTGAGCTTGACCACATAATTTATTCACCTTCATTCAGGACTTCTACACTGTAAAAAATTATATGATCAATTAGTCATTACAGCATATGTTTTTTAACTTATTAAACTAAGGTAATCATGTTCTAACTTAATTTTATAAGTTATACAAGCTGTTTTAAGTCAGTTTAACAAAATATAAGTTCAATGGACTCACAAAGTTAATCTAATTCAACTTAAACGTTTAAGGCAACCAGGATTTATTACAGTGTATGTATTTTTAAGAAGAACAAAATACAACAATAAAATAAATAACTGTTCGATTTTGAGTATGATATATATACATTTTCATTTATTTTTTTTTATAAGGGTTCTTTTACAGCATCAATGTTGTAACATAATTCATACAATCAGTTAAATAGACTTGAGCATTTTGGTTGTTAAAGCATGAAGAGAGATGAGTTTTTTTTCAGCGGGCTTGCACAGAAATTCCATTGAAAATACTAGGGTAAAATTAATTTCTATATTTTAAAGACTTGGTGCGGAAAAATAGATTTTAATGCAGTGTTTGTTTGGTGAAATACCCACTTTATATCGTATCTCAGCCAAGCAGTGAAGATCTTTTTTTTTTAAAGAAATCCGATCTTAAACGTTGTGATTTTGTATGAGACAACAAATAACAGGAAGCCCTGGGGCTGGCTGGCTGAAATTAAAAGTGCGTGTGTATATACCCCATTTAAATGCACTGGCCGTGTTGTAAAGGTGGTGGATTTTACCCAGAATATAGGTGACTTTCTTCAGCAGAACATTAAAGAAGATTTTGATGTTGTTTGAAGAAACTGAGGTCCTTGATGTTTCATTAAATGCAAGTCAACAACTATTTTGAGAGTTAGAATACATTTGGAGATAAAATTCTAATTAATAGGGCCCCTGACGAAACATTGAGTACTTATAAAGCAAAACTGCATTTTTAGAGTCTAAAAACACATTATTACCATGGTGCCAGATGGAACAGTTCTTATGAAGGACATGATGAGTTTTGTGAGTAAATAAACACATACAGACAAAACCAAACAAATGTAATACACTGAACGATACACTGAGCAAAATTTATATTTTTTTATATTATTAACAGATTTATTAAAATAATATTTTAGTCACCAAACATATTTAGAAATTGAAAGATAAAACTTTAAAATGTATGCAAAATATGGCAAAAATAAATTACAATGTCCAAAAGTTCAACAAAATTTTAGTTATTTTTGTTTCTCTTGATTTTCTGCTTTTTTTTTTTTAAACTATTTTATTTCATATTTCTTACTAACGTATAAATTTGGGCTACCAATTTTTTGATCGTTATCGTACGTTATTTTGTTAGATTAACTCCAGATCAGGATTCAGCACAGACTAATCTTATGTATATGCATAAATATAATTATACTTTAATTAGCATTGTAAAGAAAATATTAATTTAAATGAGAGATTTTTTGGGGGGTGTACTTATATGTGCCAAGCACTGTATACATATTTTTTCTTACCTCTGTTCTTAGCCACATCAATTTAAGTTCACAGGAGTCTGGAGCACACGTTTCTGATAGAATTTGACCTGGGAAAGCCAACTACAATAAATGGATGTGACCATCCGGTGAATGTGCTGAAATCTTATCCACAGCTCCTAAACACCAGGCTGGATTCCTGTAAAGCAATATTGTTTTGATGAGAAATCTCACAATCCTCACTACCACAAACAGTTTAAATTCAGAAACATAAAGTTTTGAACAATACAGCTTCAAAATCACAATTAGGTTTGACTATCATTTTGTTGTAAAGTAAATACATTTCAATTAACCTGAAACGCACAACAGGGTTGTAGTTTACTTCCAAAAGTGTCTGGCTGCAGACTTGCACATGCTCAAAAGGCTTCAGTGAAACATTTTGGTCTCTTTGAAGACCCGTAGAAGAAGGCGTGCCTAGTAACGCGGTTGTCAGGAACAAGTTGTGGAAAAGCGTGTACAACGATAAGATTTGTTTATCTTTCTGCCTTATATACCAGCGAAGTTTATGAAAGCGTTTCCTAATGATTCATATTTTGGGTTTTAATATCGGTTTTGACTAAGTTCATCGTCCTGGAGCTCCTTCGTTTTTTCGCTTGGGTGGAGTATTTTTCTTCACCCTTCTGGGGAACGTCTCGCTTATCGTCTCCAGGTTGACCACGGGATTTTAAGACCACCGTTAAAGGTTAAGTTTATTATAAAATATGCTAAATATTGTCAAATATTATCATAAACGTCGATCGTGTGTTTGATTTTGGTGTTACTGTAAAATAGAGCGTTTACCTAATGGCACGTCACACCAAATAAACATGTTGTTTGCATGTTTGCATAACTTATCTAACGTTACAAGTTTTGATCACTGTTCATTTAAAAACATTCTCTTTCATGATACACTAAGTAATGTTGCACATTTAAGCACTAATTCAGATTGCAAACACTTAATTTAATTTTTGTTTATAATATGAACGTATTTATTACAGTTTTGGAACAATACAAATGTAAATAAAAGAGGAAGAATTTTAATTTTGTGGTTAACTAAGTTTTTATGCACTGGGGCTGACGTAGCAATATTTTATTTTTATACAATACATATTGCGATTATCGTATATAATTTCAATAGATAAATTGAATAGCTCTATTTGGAAAGAATTGACATGATTTTACATTGATGGTTTTGTAAAGTGCATCTTCATTAAAAATAATAAACCAATCAAAAGTATTAATAAAACAGAGCAAATATATAAATGAAAATATAACAACATTTTTTTTTTTCTGGGAGTCTAGCAGTATTTAGGGAGACAAATTGAGTAATCAATTAATTGATGTATTAATCAATTTAATATTTAATATGAATTAAATGTAAAATAATGTAGTTTTCATTATGTGTATATATACTTAAATACAATTAATCTTTCTTAAAGTTTAAACATTTTAATTTCTTGTTCAAGAATGCTTTAAATGCTTACACAATCACACACCTTAAAAACACATCAACTGTGTCTCCTGGGGCCTGTTTCAGAAAGCAGGTTAAGTTAAAACTCAGAGTAGTTTAACCCTGAAATGAGAGAAACTCTGGGTTTTCCGTTTCAAAATGGCAGGTTTGTTAAACTCGAGAAAGCAGGGTAAGTCAAGCCTGTTTCTAAAAGAGAGTTAACTTTAACTCAGAGTAAGTTACCGTGGTGAATCTAACCTGGTCCGGAGCAGGTTTTATTCCCCAAACTCTGAGTTTCTGTCTGTCTCCTCCCTTTTTAAAGATGAAGCGGTATTTCTCGCATTAGTCTTACATTTCCACACACCTATTTTAGAGCTCATTTTGGAGATGTGCATAAAAAAGATTGATGGAAACGTCATGATTCACATAACTTTTGAAAATACGCATAATAAAACATGTGCATAACTGAGTAGGTTAAACTTTTATTTGATAAGATGCGCATAAACTACGAAGTGCACTTAACAAATTACAGTATGTACATTAAAAAAAGCTTTGTTAGAGATGATGATGAAAATGTGTGTGAATGTACAAACCAGCAGACTGAGCACACTGCAGAACATCTTTAATGTTGTTTTAGTCATTCTAAAATGCCTTAACTGTTTCAGTATTAGTGTATATTATTAATTACCTCCGAGCGTTTGGAGCGTGTCTCCGCGTCTCATGGCTTCAAACGCCCCCACCTGTTCATTGTGTGTCAATTGTCTTCTGACTGAGGCTCAGGACAGGTACATTAATTAAATAAAAAATCATTGACGCAGCTTCTTCTACCGCAGTAAATTCTGTTTTTACTGTTGATATTTGGCGCAAGTTAATCAGGAAGTGACGATTGTGTTCTCTTCGACTCTTTGGATAAAAACGCTGCTTTATTTTTAGGCGTTATTCCAGTTTTGCACATTTATTATGTAATTTATGTAATAGCCTATTTTGATGGAAACATAGCTATTGCCTACATTTTTGTCACACACAGAACAAAGTCACGTACGAGGCTTGTCCTTTTTTCATAAATAATTAACCTTCGACATGCACTGTTACTAGATTAATGGGATTATTATTCTGTCTAAATTATTTTATTACTGCTTACCTTCTTAATGTTATATCAACCTCTATCACTTGATCAATAAAAAGGCAAACACATAACAAGTGCACTGTTAAATCTATTAAAACTGATAAAAGTGTATAAAAGTTTAGAAAAAAAGTATAAACATCACACATTACATTACTTATTTTATTATACTTAAAACGTTTAAATACTTAAAATTAAAAATTACGCATTAACTTGGGCAGCTGTTTTCCCACGCTGTCTCTGTTTCACTGATGGTTGCTTCTTTTTAAATATATACGCTCATATTTGCTATAACTTTGCATGAGCAGATCAAGTTCAGCTGGAGAAAGAAATGCTAAAATGCTCTCTTTTTTTAAGATGTTGCCATAGTCACTCGTAATTTCTGCGCTCCATTGATAATGCCTTTTTATAGTCACGGTGTGCGCGCTTAACTCTGAGTTGGTCTACTCAAAGTTGATTGACCCAACTCAGATCAGCTATTCTGAAACCGAAAACTCTGAGTTTTTAATCTCTCGGTAAATCAACTCAGAGTTCAAGTTTAAACTCCGAGTTGTTTGAACCTCCTTACTGAAACAGGCCCCTGGTCAACTATAATCTTGATTGTGCAATGTGCAGATGCGCACATTGCGATATCAATGTTGAAACGATATATTGTGCAGCTCTATCAGATTATATAATGACACATCTTATCAAATACTGCAGCACTTCAGCTCTAACGTGTTGGTGCGTCTACATAAATGATTTGACATGTCAGTGATGTATCTGTTTCCTGTTTTCAACAGAACCATCATGTAGCCTGCAATGCGGTTTGGTGACCGTTATATTTGTGGCACCTCTTATCAGTTGTTATGGGTACGGCATCCTCTCTGGTGAGCCCTGGTGAGGTGATTGAAGATGCGTATGGTGGCGAAGGAGGAGAAGCATGCGAGATACCAGTGGAGGTGAAGCCAAAGGCACGCCTGCTGCGGAGCTCCTTCCGTCGTGGGCCTCGTGTCATCGGTGCCAGCTTCAAATCCACCGGATCTGTGGAACTGGAGTACGCAGCGGAGTATGAGCGCCTCAGGAAAGACTACGAGATCTTCAGAGTCAGCAAGAACAATGAAATCACCTCCATGCAAAAGAAAGAAGCTAAGCTGGATGAGGAAAACAAGAGGTTGCGGGCTGAGCTGCAGGTTTGAGGGGGAATAAGATCATTTTGACTTTTTATGTGGGCCAATGATAAATAATAGTGGTTGGCAAATAAATAACTCGGCTACATTTAGAAATCTTGTTTAAAATGCATGTTCATGTTTAGAAGATACAGTAGTCCTCTTTTCATGAAAAAATGGAACTGTTGAGTTTATAAATAAACATTTGATTCATTACGGGTTTATACATGTTTTGCTGTACTTACCTATTTCATAACCTGGGGTGCGTTTCCCAAACAACAACATAACTCGCGGCTGAACTATCATAGTACGATGCATCGTTTGGGAAAGGAATGATGTAGTGACGAGTGTTTCCCAAAACTGTAGTTTCTCTGCTGCATATCCATCATTTGATCCATGTTAGTTATAAGGTATAACGTCCATAATGACACTCTAAATGGGGTGGGGTGTCTAGGTACTTCTTTAGAGAATAACCAACAGAATTTTTTGTGCAAATTATAAAGTACATCCATAAACTATTTATAGCGCTTCACTTTTTCCACATATTTTAAGTTACAGCCTTATTCCAAAATGTATTAAATTCATTTATTTTCTTCAAAATTCTACACACAATACCCCAAAATGACAATGTGAAAAAATATTGCAAATTTATTCAAAATCATAAACCTAAAAAATCACATGAAATCACATGTACATAAGTATTCACAGCCTTTGCTCAATACTTTGTTGATGCACCTTTGGCAGCAATTACAGCCTCAAGTCTTTGAATATGATGCCACAAGCTTGGCACACCTGTCTTTGGGACATTTTGCCCATTCCTCTTTGCAGTACCTCTCAAGCTCTATCAGGTTGGATGGGAAGTGATGGTGTACAGCCATTTTCAGATCTCTCCAGAGATGGAGGATTTAGGTCTGGGCTCTGGCTGGGCCACTTAAGGACATTCACCGAGTTGTTGTGAAGCCACTCCATTTATATTTTTGCAGGGTGCTTTGGGTCATTTTCCTGCTGGAAGATGAACTGTCACCCCAGTCTGAGATCAAGAGCACTCTGAAGCAGGTTTTCATTTAGGATGTCTCTGTACATTGCTGCATTCATCTTTCCCTCTATCCTGACTAGTCTTCCAGTTGCTGCTGCTGAAAATATCTCCACAGCCACCACCATGCTTCACTGTAGGAATGGTAATAGCCTGGTGATGAGCAGTGCCTGGTTTTCTCCAAATGTAACGCCTGGCATTCACTCCAAAAAGTTCAATTTTAGTCTCATCAGACCAGAGAATTTTCTTTCTTATGGTCTGAGAGTCCGTCAGGTGCCTTTTGGCAAATTCCAGGCAGGAAGTGGCTTTCGTCTGGCCACTCTATACAGGCCTAATTGGTGGATTGCTGCACAGATGGTTGTCCTTCTGTAAAGATCTTCTCTCTCCACAGAACCTCAGACAGAGTGACCATCAGGTTATTGATCACCTTGCTGACTAAGGCCCTTCTCCCTTGATCACTTAGCTTACAGTAGATGACCGGCCAGCTCTAGGAAGATTCCTGGTGGTTCCAAACATCTTCCACTTATGGATGATGTAGGCCACTGAGCTCATTGGAACTTTCAGAACAGCCGAATTTTTCTGTAACCTTCCACAGCCTTGTACCTCAAGACAATCCTGTCTCAAAAGTCTACAGACAATTCCTTTGTCTTCAAGCTTGGATTGTGCTTTCACCTGCACTGTCAACCCTGGGACCTTATATAGACAGGTGTATGCCTTTTCAAATCATGTCCAATCAACTGAATTTACCACAGGTAAACTCTAATTAAGCTGCTGAAACATCTTAAGAATGATCAGTGAAAACAGAATGTACCTGAGCTCAATTTAGAGCGAAGTGAAGCGCTATGAATACTTTCCACGCACTGTATCTTCCTAAGAAAGAAGCTCAAACAAGTCTAGGATCAGTAAATGATGATAGAATTTTCATTTTGAGTGAATTATGCCTTTAACATTGTTTCTTTCTTCAGTTTGTATGTTAAATAATTATTGTTTTGCTAATTCTTTGTTGGCGGTTCATTTCGCTGTGGCGACCCCAGATTAATAAAGGGACTAAACTGAAAAGAAAATGAATGAATGATTCTTTGTTTCTCTGTTTGTCAGGCTCTTCAGAAGACTTACCAGAAGATTCTTCGAGAAAAGGAAAGTGCCTTGGAAGCAAAATACCAAGCCATGGAAAGAGCTGCCACTTTTGAACATGACAGAGACAAGGTTAAACGACAGTTTAAGGTATGAGTCTGAGCTGATTCATTGAGCATTCCTACCTTGCACAATTCTAAATCTCGTCCCTCTACTTCCTTTTCTTTTAACCTTTGAAGTCAGAATTATTACGCCATTAGCCCTCAATTTCTGTTTAACGGAGAGAAGATTTTTTCAACACATTTATAAACATAATAGTTTTAATAACTAATTTCTAACAACTGATTTATTTTATCTTTTCCATGATGACAGTACATAATATTTGACTAAATATTTTCACGATACTAGTATTCAGCTTATATTGCAATTTAAAGCCTTAAGTTGGTTATTTAGCTTAATTAGGCCAGTTAGGGTAATTAGGCAAGTCATTGTATTACAGGGCTTTGTTTGTCTGTAGATAGTCAAATTTGCTAAAGGGGTTAATAATACTGTCCTTAACCACTTTAACTCTGCGGACCCGGTACCGGGTCCGTGACTTCATCGACTTTCGCTTTCAGATTTAAAGGGCTAGCGTTGCACCAGACCCCCGTAAGTGGTGTGGTTTGAAAGTGTAAAATCTATATTTTATGCACATATGCATCACTTTGGTTTTTATTCTACTGTATAAAAGTTATTTACACTTAAATACACAGTATTTTGGATACCCGAGCTAGGTATTTTACATTGGTTCATTTTCATATTTTTTTATATGACACATGTACAAGTTATAGCTCAAATGAAAGCTCTTGCCGGTGCTCATACAGTTCTAGCATTCTTTTTACTGAATTATATTCATATGCCAAACAGTTGTTGAATGAATTGTGGTGTTTCCATGGCGCAGAAATGTAAACAATACATTCATGATCAATAAGCAGCCCCAGATAGCACAGACAGCTGTCATCTCTTACCTTATGCTGTGCTCTTCAGGGCCATTCCCCTCTGTTTTTGAGGTGATGTGCATAAGTAATCCTTTTATATGTCTGATGTGGTCCAAACACAGTGAGTTATGTTTGATCAAACAAAAGAATAGTGAAATATGTAAACAAGGATCGGTCTCTGTGGCTTGTACAGCACCTCTCATCAGTTGGAGTACAATAACTTTTACATAGATTATGGTAGAGACCTTTTTCTTTTTTCCTATGATTACAGACATGTGCAGGAACCACCAAAATTAATTACAGCACGCTAGACCACACAGAATCTAAAAGGTACACTTTCAAATTTTAGTTTATTTAAAAAAAAATACAAAAAGCGCCTCTTTTTTAGGTGTTTATTATAACACAGACGACATATACAGTTATTTTAAACACTATCAATAGTGTTTTATGAAAAATCAAAGGGTTTTCTTTAAAATGATACCAAATCTTTGCATTTACATCTCTGCATGTGGATTTGGGAAGCTTTTAAATTTGGGTAGGCAAAATCCAGGCGGAAATCCCCAAATAGCAGCAGTTTAAGTGGTTAAAATGATTTTAAAATATTAAAAACTAGTTATAAAAACATTCGTTCCAGTCGAAATAAGACAAGACTTTCTCCAAAAGAAAAAAAAAAAACATTACAGGAAATTCCTTGCTCTGGTAAACAAGAAAATTCACAGGAGGGCTAATCATGCTGTATTTTGTTTCACCCTTCAGATATTTCGTGAAACTAAAGAAAAAGAAATTCAGGATTTGCTGCGGGCAAAACGAGATCTGGAGTCAAAACTTCAACAGCTGCAGGCGCAAGGCATTCAGATTTATGACCCAGCAGACTCAGATTCTGATGACAACCACACCACTGTTACTAGTAAGAATATGACAGACACACAAGGGCAACTTCAGCAGTGGCCAAAACTGATGTTCATTATTTGCTACATGTAAGGTTTTTTAAACTAATGTGGGAAGAAGCACACACAGATAGTGAACGCAACGAATTCTCTATCAGCTGTCACACTAATCATCCAATCAGAATCAAAGGCTGCATTTACACTGCATGCTTCAAGTGACTCAATTCCTATTCTTGAATCGGTGAATTGAATAAGCTAAATTGGCCGTATTGCATGTGTGTGAATCCAAGAGTGCATGGCTGGAAGAGCATCCGCTGCGTTAAACATATACTGGATAAGTTGCTGGTTCATTCCGCTGTGGCGACCCCTGATTGATAAAGGGGCTAAGCCGAAAAGAAAATGAATGAATTAATTATTTATTTAACTTACTAATTTATTTTGTGAAAAAAGAGGGATGAAATGAGGGTTTGTGTCAACCAAAAATGCTACAAAATAAGCAGTTACTAATTGGTAAATAGTTTTCTCTTGTATTTCCTTCGTATGTCCTTTCACATGCACATTTTTCATGTATTTCTGTAAAATGTTTCAGTTTTACTGCCAGAGCACCTGCATGTTAAACGGTGTAAATTACTGACACAGACTCCCTTTTCTTTGGAAGAGGAAGTACAACTTTTTTTTTCTCTGTTTGCATTTTAAACTCTTCTTCAGTTTAGGGCATGCTAGTAAGAATGTGTGCTGTGTATATGGTGTGAACCTACTCTGCTCTCATGGTCCATTTGACTATGACAATTATCATGTCATCGATTCAGTTTAATTAGGTATTATGATCAATTTTCAGTTTTACCTTACATAAATATACAGTTTTGTCATAAAAGCAGTCAGATATAAGAACTGAACCTTTCATTTTTACCTGCTCAAAGAAATCATGCTTCATATTGTCATGCAGATTGGGGACCATTGCTAAATAACAACAATTTTTCTCTAAAGAGACAGCAATTTTTAATTGCAGAGACTTTCAAGCACAGGTGTCAAATTCAGTCCCTGGAGGGCCGCAGCTCTGCACAGTTTAGTTTCAACCCTAATTAAACACACCTGATCAGACTAAGCGAGTGCTTTAGGCTTGTTTAATACCTACAGGTATGTGTGTTGAGGCAGGACTGGAACTAAACTCTGCAGAGCTGTGACCCTCTAAGAACCAAGTTTGACATCCCTGCTTTAAAGGAAATATTTTTAACATGAGTCCTTCAAAAATGGTAGAAGTTTTATCAAAAGTAAGTCTAGATTCTTTTTTAAAATCTTATTTAATATATTATTTATTACTGTATTTTAACGTCTCTTTAGTAGTATAAAACGTTTTTATTATAGAAAAGTGATATTTATTATAAAATTGTATTCGTTTTTCTTATAACATAGCCAGAGAAGCTGATACGGCTATAAACTTAAAACTTTCTCATGAATTTAATTAAAATCAACGACATCATCGACATGTTCAGTGTTGTGTTCTGCTGCTCAGTGAGTTTGAGAGCTTATATCATGTCCTTATAGTGGATCTTGGGCTCTACTGCACCTTCAGTGCAAGAAAAAACTGTCCCAGCAAACTCAGTGAAAACTGCTAAATGTTCACAAGTGTAGGTTCTGAATATAGTTAGAATAAAGCATTTTTAATTACTTCCAATTGTGTCCAACCCCTCTCTCTGTATGCTTCCATGATGAATGTCTTTGGGAAGTTGTCAATCTATCATAACTAATTATGGTTTCTTATAAAAATGATACTAAATCGTCATCATCTGCATCGCGATGCACCATAGAAATAATTATTTTGACACCCCAATACTGTGAATTAATTTAGCAGTATGCATGTACACTAATGAAATATCACATTATGACCACTTTCCTAGCTATGAGCAGGACCATACAGAATCTGTGTATGTTTTTATATGATTCTGCACAATATAAAAAAATAACAATAATATATATATATATATATATATATATATATATATATATATATATATATATATATATATATATATATATATATATATATATATTATTTATATATACAGTTCAAGTCAGAATTATTAGCCCCCCTTTGAATTTTTCTATTTTTTTAAATATTTCCCAAGTTATGTGAAGGAAAAAGGAGCAAGGAAATTTTCACAGTGTGTCTGGTAATATTTTTTCTTCTGAAGAAAGTGTTATTTGTTTTATTTCAGCTAGAATAAAAGCAGTTTACATTAAAAAAAAAAAAACACTTTAATGACAAAATTATTAGCCCTTTTAAGCTATATTTTTCCAATAGTCTACAGAACAAACCATCATTATACAATAGCTTGCTTAATTACCCTAACCTGCCTAGTTAACCTCATTAATCTAGTTAAGCCTTTAAATGTTACTTTAAGCTGTATAGAAGTGTCTTGAAAAATATCTAGTCAAATATTATTTACTGTCATCATGGCAAAGATAAAATAAATCAGTTATTAGAAATAAGTTTTTAAAACTATTATGTTTAGAAATGTGCTAATAAAATCTTCTCTTCGTTAGACAGAAATTGGGGAAAAAAATAAACAATAGGGCTAATAAATCAGGGGGGATAATAATTCTGACTTCAACTGTATATCTTTGGATTCATGCAAGAGTATATATATATACTCTCGGCTCAGTTGGCATTTCTGTGTGGAGTTCGCATGTTCTCCATGCCTTTGCGTGGGTTTCCTCCAGGTGCTCCGGTTTCCTCCACAGTCCAAAGACATGTGGTACAGGTGAATTGGGTAGGCTAAATTGTCCGGTGTGTGTGTGTGTGTGTGTGTGTGTGTGTGTGTGTGTGTGTGTGTGTGTGTGTGTGTGTGTGTGTGTGTGTGTGTGTGTGTGTGTTTGTGTGTGTGTGTGTGTGTGTTTGTGTGTGTGTGTGTGTGTGTGTGTGTGTGTGTGTGTGTGTGTGTTTGTGTGTGTGTGTGTGTTTGTGTTTGTGTTTGTGTTTGTTTCCTTCCCAGAGATGGGTTAGGGCTGGAAGGGTTAGGCTGGCATCCGCTGCGTAAAAACTTGCTGGATAACTTGGCGGTTCATTCTGCTGTGGCGACCCCGGATTAATAAAGGGACTAAGCCAACAAGAAAATGAATGAATGAACCATTTTAAATATGAATTTATTTACGTTGATCAATATATTTTACATTTATAAAAAAGTGCATGGTTTCCATTGTAGTGCAATTTAGGTAGGAATTCATAAGATTTTAGACAGCAGCTTTGTTGAACAGTAAATGCTGAGTTTTAAAACAATTTCATCCCTTATGTCCACTGTGCGTGCAGCTGCAGGAACTCAATGTGAATACTGGAGTGGTGGTGTGTTGGGCAGCGAGCCGTCAATGGGCAGTATGATGCAGTTACAGCAGACACACAGGGGTCCGGAATTCGCTCACAGTCTTATTGACGTGGAGGGGCCGTTTGCTAATGTCAGCAGAGGTGAGTTTTATCTGTTTGTTTCTGTCTGTAATGCAAATGTAAACGTGTTGATGTTTGTGAGTGTATTTCAGATGATTGGGATGCGGCGGTGGCCAGTCTTCTGCAGGTTTCTCCTCACGTCTCTCAGTCTCTGTGGAGTAACACTGTCCGCTGCTACCTCATATACACACACGAGACCAAAGCAGAGCTGCAGACTTTCATTCAGGTACACACACGGCCTCGCAATAACATTTAGCCACATTTTTGCAGATAGCTATGGTCTTGATGAATTGTACATACCATAAATTGTTTTTGCTAGGGCTGCTCGATTTTGGGAAAAATCATAATCACGATTTTTTTGGTCATAATTTTAATCACGATTATTTAAAACGATTATCAGTTGAAGTCAAAATTATTAGAGCTCCTAAGATTTTTTTTTTAAATAAATATTTTCCAAATGATGTTTAACAGAGCAAGGAATTTTAACAGTATTTCCTATAATATTTTTTCTTCTAGGTTTATTTGTTTTATTTTAGCTAGAATAAAGCAGGTTTAAATATTTTGAAACCCATTTTAAGGTTAATATTATTAGCCCCCTTAAGATATATATTTTTTGATTGTCTGCAGAAGAAACTACTTTTATACAGTGACTTGCCTAATTACCCTACTTAAGCCTTTGAATTGCACTTTAATCTGAATGTTTGTATTTTGAAAAATATCTAGTCAAATATTATTTACTGTCATCATAGCAAAGATAAAAGAAATCAGTAACTAGAAATCAGTTATCAAAACTATTATGTTCAGAAATAAGTAAAAAAAAAAATCCTTTCCATTAAACAGAAATTGGGCAGGAAAAGGGTTGCTAATATTCAGGAGGGCTAATAATTCTGACTTCAACTGTATACATACAGTTATTTTCCACCCTGCAAAGAGAAATAAATACAATAGAATAAAAATATGAAACAAACTGTGCTTTAAGAATCTTTACTGTAAGAAAAACAATTTAGCTACAAAAATCCTTGAGTCAAGAGCAGAGAGGGATTTTCTCGTTTTATTTGATTAAAAATCATAAAAACAGGCGGCAGCAGGAACATCGCGCTGTCTCTTTAATGGTTTCTCTTTCACGTGTTTTGATCCTCAACTCGTTTGTTTATTACACAAATGAGGGTTAATATAAGTCATCACTAAACACCGCGTTTTGACACCTATTTGACCATTTAAGCACTCACGTTAAGATGACTTTAGATGTCTGCGCTCCTCTGCTCGTCTCAGTGTGCGAATGAGACCGAATGCTGACCGGCCGTATGCTTCTGACTGTGTGTGCTTCACGCACACACACATAAGCACGCAGTCTTTCGCGCTTTAAGAGCAACAAACGTGAACAGCTGGAAAGGGGGCGGTATATGATGCAATAATCGTTTATCTCGATTAATGCTTTTTCATAATCGGTTGAAGCCGAAATCGGATTTTCGATTAATTGCACAGCCCTAGTTTTTACTGATCATGTTACAGTTTTTTACAAAATTAACTTTATCCAATAAAGAAATATCACTTTAAATCTTTTGGGCTAAAGTATTTACAAGGTGTCCGCTGGGTCTTAAAAAGTCTTACATTTCAAAAACTAAATTTAAGGCATAAAAAAGTCTTAAATTCACTGAAATTTTGTCTTGTAGATCTTAAATGACTGTAAATGGGTCTTACTTTTGCTATGTAATGCTATAATCTATCTATACTCTTTCTATAAATTATATTCTATTTCAGTAGAACTTTTAAGAAAAGTCTATTTGTAACTCTATTTACAAATATGGTTTATTGTCGCCCTTACAATAAAATTTGTTTAAAAGTTATCTGTGTATTTGTAGTTCATAAATGATGAGGACACTGACCTGGACAGACTGTTGTGCATACGTTTAGATTGCTTTAGGGATATATAATGTATATCTAATATATATATATATATATATATATATATATATATATATATATATATATATATAATGTAATGAATAATGTGTATGCATACAACTAGGGTTTGCTTGTTTTGACAATTTATTTAAAATATGTGGCTAAGAAATATCTAATTGTAATAAAATATTTTTGAAAAACCTGTATAAAGGCTGATTTATACTTCTGCGTCAAGCGCATGCATATGCTACGGCGCATCCTGTGCATGGTCGTACAGCCCTTGCCATAGGCCTCGCCGTGGCCGATGCTGACGCGAACATCTCAAAAAAATTTTACTACACGTCGCAATGACAGGGAGCGCAAGCTCTGTGATTGGTCGGCTTGATAGCACTGATGAGTGAAGGCGGGACTGAGTTGGAGTTAGTGTTTACAAGTGTTGAGTCCCGTGAAATGATATATATATATATATATTTTAATATTGATATTGTTTCTAAGTAAAAATACAGAGCTAAATGATTTTGTTATTCTTTTTTGATGTCAAATGTTAAACCTTATAGTTTTAATTTTATTGCAAATAATTGCTCACATTATTTCTCTTATAATCACCAATTTGGAGATCGGAAAGTGTAAGTCAAATAACATTAATTAAATCTATCTTTATATTTTAGCTCTTTCCATCCATTTGTCCCTCTCTTTTAGACTTATTCTTTAAGGCTTCGGAGGTTTTGTGAAGGTTTGGGTCATTTTTACCTGAACGTGTCATTTCCTGAGGAGAAGGCTGCTGTGTTTGCTGCTGAACGCAGACGAGAGATGGAGAGGAGCTCTGTGTGTGTGCTGCTTCTCAAGTCCTCAGTGTCCAGGTGACGGTCTGTCTTCTCACACATTTTATCATGTAGTTGTGTTATTATGGATGTCATGTATAGTTTCGGCTGTCTTAGCTGTGTTGTGGAGGATGTTGAGGAAGCGTTTGTGAAGACCCCGGATGCTCGACCTCTCTTGCTGTATTTGCGAACTGCCGACAGAAAAGGTGAAAAGGAAGAGGTGTCTACTCTCAGCCCAGCCACCAGAGACCTGCTAGAGAGAGTGAACAAGGCTGACAGAAGTGCCAAACTTAAGGTAGAATGAAATGACCCATAGTTTTAAAGTTAGATTTTAAGTTGCTTTTATTTTTATTGGAAGCTACATTTTTGGCCATGAGGTTTAAATTGAGGAATCATTATAATATGATGATTTGATGCTATATTTTAATAAATGAGTTGTAGGTCACGTGTAATGGTTCTGATTATTATTAATGCCAGAAAATTACTTAAATTGTTATTTTTTTGACTAAAGGTAGTACTTGTTTTTGTTTTTTTAGACTTAGCTGATCAAAAAGCTGCATTTATTTTTATAAAAATAATACTAAAACCTGGAATAGTGTGAAATATTTGAAGAAAAAAAAAATTACACTTGCAATAAAATAATAAAATGTCCTGAAAGATTCATTCTTGTAAACAGTATGTTTTAGCCAGTAATTTAATGCTATAAAAACGGGGTGTGTCATTGTGATTGACAGCTTCTCAAAGCTGACTGTCAGAGTTCTGGTGGAGATTGAAGTGTTACTATTCAATTTCTGTGTTATTTTACCATGATAAATGAGTTCAGCAGTAGTTAGCGCGCTGACACATGGTGCAATATCACGTCAGGGCGTTGCGAGTTCGAATCCCGGCTCGAGGACATTTCCCTATCCCTCATTTCCCTCTCTCTCTCTCTCTCTCTCCCACTTCGCTTCCTGCCTCAATACTCTCCTATCTAATAAAGGCAAAAAGGCCAAAAATAAATCTTTAAAAACAAAAAAAAACCTTTACTTTCTGACCTGCAGGATCTGATGGATCACTTTTTATTCAGTAAATTGAGGGTTTTATTAGGCTTTATTATTAGTTTGCTGATACATGCCTAGCCATGACGGGGAAAATACAGTTGATTGCTATCTAGCAGTAGACATAATTATTAGGAAAACAAAACTAATGTTAGCAAATCTCCACATTGATCTCCTGTAATGTTATTTGAACTTGATTTAAAGGACGTCTCTGACATCAGAGTTAATCTACTGAATTTGCGGTTTTAAAATATTCATGTTTTAGAAACCGAATCTTACATAACAAATTGAGCTGCTGTATATGTTATATTATAAACACCATTTACCGTTGGCTTTTTATTTGAAAACACATACTTAACATCAAAATGAAGGTAAATTCTTATGTGCCAGATATTAAGGCATGAAGTAAACCAAATAAAAACTGAGGCAAAAAATGATAAACGATATACAAGCAATGTTGCAGCAGCTTTTAGGCCTATATCATATAGACATCAGTTGATGTATTTATACTGCTAAGTTTATTGTAGAAAATGACGAGGGTTATTTTATATAGTGCAGGGATGGGATGTGTAAATATCCTGTTGATATTTAGAAATCTTGCAGTGTTTATCTTTTAACGCACTTATTTTTCCCGCATGGCAAATAGCTGTCCATCATGTGTATATTTTCTAAAATGTAGGTGTCGTTTATGTTATTGTTCATATTTTTAGAAGTGATTTTTCTACCTTGATGAAGAAAACAAATACCAACAACCCATTTTAAGAGAAATATTTTTTGTGCTCATAGCTGAGTCTAACTCAGGCTAGAGTGTATGAAATTTTATTTAAACATATATTATTTTTATTAAATTATTAAAAACAGCTTACATCACACAGTTTTTAAATTGTATATTATTACATGTTTTTAAATGCAGGTGCTTATATTTATAGTAGCAAGCCTTTGTTATAGTGCAGATACAGGCGGTCAAGGGAGAAGTTCGGGGGGAATGGTTGATTTGACAAACAAGCGTTTGGTTGTAAGCTTGATTCAGTGGCTCCGCCTTTGGCTCCATCTGGTAGTCACTTCTGTGCATGCTCAGGCTCCAATTTCAGCAGTGTTTTGCAACAGTTTGTGCCCATCATGAGGGGTTTTGCCTTCAAAGCGTTCAATGGGAAAAGGTGCTGTTGCGTCGTCATCCATATTTTTTACAGTAATTGGTTGGTCATCTGTAATCCTAACAATCTTTTAAAAAACTAGTTCGCTACCAGTAAGAATTAAACTTTTTTTTGTCATGAAATAATATAACAAAACACTCCCTTGAAGTACAATACAGAACTACTTTTTTTGGACTATAGATCCTATTTGTATCTTGTTTATTTGCTGATTTTAGTTTACATCTCTATTTCAACTTCTTATTTTCTACAGGTAGTGGATCACGCTGGGTCTGTGGAGGAAGGAGCTGCTCTTATCTTCTCTCAGCTGGAAAGAATCATAAAACAAGTGAGGGTTGTGGTTTATAGCACATACACCTCACACAGGATAGATAAAAATAACTCAGCAAGTTCTGCAGATTAGTTCAGTATTGTCTGCCACTACACTGGGCTCATTTGACATATTAAAGTGCATATCACTTTAAAATATTTACAGCCAAAATCTTACACGTATTATGATTAACTGTGAGATGGAATTGTTTGTTTATGTCTAGACAAAATTACAGAAAAAAGCTACAGTTACTTAGGGAAATTAACTTTTGAGATTTGTTTTGGGTAGAAAAATCAGCAGTGGGTTCATTGTCACTTCTATGATGTAATTTCGACCCAGACACTAACCCAGAAGTTTTTATTTGCATAAATATAGAACAATATAAATTATAAAAAAGGAAGTGTAAAATATAGTGTACTATTTAAGAATTTGAAAGTATTTTTTAAGCATGATTTTCAACAGAACAATGTTGCTTTCTTTATTGGCATGACACAAAACTGACAATACCAATAGCAGCAATCTACTACATGTGTGACACACAGAGGAACAAAATGTCGCATTTCACAGGACAAAGGTGCCACATAAATGAATCATAAATACAAACACTACATTTGACATAAGAGCTTTTTTTTTAAATAACTAACCTACACTATAAGATACTTAACTACACACATAGGACAGGCTATACAAATACTTTTACATGAGACTGACAAAATGTCGGCGACGCAGTGGCGCAGTTGGTAGTGCTGTTGCCTCACAGCAAGAAGGTCGCTGGGTCGCTATTTCGAACCTCCGCTCAGTTGGCGTTTCTGTGTGGAGTTTGCATGTTCTCCCTCCGTTTGCATGGGTTTCTTCCGGATGCTCCGGTTTCCCCCACAGTCCAAAGACATGCGGTACAGGTGAATTGGGTTGGCTAAATTGTCCGTGGTGTATGATTGTATGTGTGTGTGGATGTTTCCCAGAGACGGAATGCAGCTGGAAGGGCATCCGCTGCAAAAGAACTTGCTGGATAAGTTGGTGGTTCATTCCGCTGTGTCGACCCCAGATTAATAAAGGGACTAAGACGACAAGAAAATGAATGAATGGATGAATGAATGACAAAATGTTTTGAATTAGAATTTCTTAACTTGAATTTCAACACATTTTTAGTCAGCAGATGCCCTTCCAGCCGCAACGCAGTACTGGGAAACACCCACACACTCACGTTTACACGCACTCATACACTACGGCCAGTTCTTAGTTAATCCTGTTCACCAAATACCACGTCTTTGGATTGTGAAGGAAACAAGAGCACCCAGAGAAAACCCATGGGAACTTAGGGAAAATATGCAGAACATCCACACAGAAATGCCAACTGACTCAAACCAGTAACTTTCCTGCTGTGAGGTGACAGTGCGAACCACTGAGCCATCCATTCATCAGCAATTCATTCCTTCATTTTCTTTTCAGCTTAGTCCCTTTATTAATCTGGGGTCACCACATCGGAATAAACCACCAACTTATTCAGAAAGTTTTTACGCAGCGGATGCCCTGCGTAACCCATCTCTGGAAAACACACACTCATTCACACTCATACACTATGGACAATTTAGCCTACCCAATTCACCTGTACCACATGTCTTTGGACTGTGGGGGAAACCGAAGCACCAGGAGGAAACCTACACGAACGCAGGGAGAACATGCAAGCTCCACACAGAAATGCCAACTGACCCAGCTAAGGCTCGAATCAGCAACCTTCTTGCTGTGAGTTGACAACACTACCTACTGCACCACTGCGTGGCCAGATACAATACAATGCCAAATATTAGCAAACTGATATTGATGAGTGATATGAGGAAAACGTGGAGTCAGGACGGATAATTGGTGGCAGGCAGACACACACTGTACTGCTAACACATAGCACATATTCCAAATTCTGTGAGAGTTCAATTTTGTTTTCGTCACTGTTTGGACACAAACACTCTTCCTGTGGCAGTCATGTTTTTCTGTATCTCCCAGTCTCTATGTTTAAGGTGGCACTCAGTTTCTTTTAATCTGCCACTGTGTCTGCCTTTTTTGTTGCTGTTGTTGTTGTTTGAGTTCCTCTCTCTCTCTTCAGGAGTTGTTGGGATTGGAGTTAGAGGAGAATGGAGTGGTGGAGGAAAGAGAAGAGGAAGACTCTGGTGATGTGCTTTGGGATCTTCATGATGAGCAGGAGCAGATAGAGGCATTTCAGCAAGCTTGCGGCGCTGCTGCCAGATTCAGCTTTCAAAAGGTACAGTATAAAAACTTCTACTATTGATCATTATTCACAAATATCTTAACCGATTAATAGATCCACTGTAAATCTGAGGGAAAATTTGTGTATTTGTGTGTTTAATGAAAGCTCAGAGGCTACATGCATCCATGTGTATTTGTATTTGTTCCATCTATTACGAACTGTGCAAGTAAACTTTAGTCTTGGGCAGATGGCACAGATAGTCTTAAAAGGCCTCCACAGAGTTCAGACCTGGGAATTATATAGCAAAGTATCTTTTAAGGCAAGTCATTTCACTCGGCGACCATCTTTGAAACACCTCTCGGGCAGTATGCTCTGGCATTCTGTTTGAATGGGAAAAATTCTCCAAAACTACTTGCCAAGCTTATGATTGAATTTCATATTAGGAATCACTAATAAAATTTAACAACAACTGTATCTTTAGTTTAATTTCTAAACATCAAAATCACACAAAATCTGCAGAAACTCACGTCTGGTCCGAGCTTCTCCCCCGGAGTATGTACAGTCTATATCGATCGATGATTGGCTCCTGTACTAGAAAGCGGGCTTTATTCGCCATATAGCAATTGATGATTGGCTTATGTACTAGAAGGCGGGCTTTATTCAACCATATTGACCGTTACACTTTTCCCCATTCAAATAGATACGAGTGACACGTCTTGTGTATTCTATAGTCTTTGTTATATGGGATCACCTGCACAGAATATTTTTTAACAACTGTCTTTGCTAAAATAATAAGAGAAAAACTCCACAATGGTGTTATCAATTGTGTGAGATTGATGACGGCAGCCAGAGGAGAGAACAGCGTCAAATTTAATCTTAGCCCCACAGACGCTACTTTAGAAACACCTCACATAAGCGGTAATTCGTTTTTTTGTAATTTAACGCAAAGATGATATAGTACATTCATTAATGCATATAAATGTTCATACGTTTTTTAAAAAATCATGGATTTAAGATAATAATGACTAGGGATGTAACGGTATCAGAATTTCACGGTACGATAATACCTCGATATGAATGGCACAGTACGGTATTTATTGAATAATTTACAGGAAAAACAAAACTAATGAAAAGACTCGAAAAAAGTGCCAAAAGTGTTTATTTACCTTAGCACTAAACATATCAGTGACATACAAATTAGCCATCTATCTGTAAGTTTTGAAACAGGAACTTAAATTTTTCAATTTTAATAACAAAAAACTATTAAACTATATAAAAAAAATAAAGTTTCAATTTATTATTGTTGAAAACTCATCACATTCAACATTTAATCTCTCACTCAGATACAGATGGGTTTTTTAGGGAAAATTATCATAGAACTATAATCTGGTAAAAGCTGGGATCTCAGTCGGCGCAATAGCCTAGTGGTTAGCGCGCTGACATATGGTGCAATAGCACGTCAGGGCATCGCGAGTTCGAATTCCGGTTCGACGACATTTCCCTACCCTACCCCCTCTCTCTCTCTCCCACTTTGCTTCCTGTCTCAATACTGTCCTATCTAATAATAAAGGCCAAAAAAGGCCAAAAGTAAATCTTAAAAAAAAAAAAAAAAAAAAAGCTGGGATCTCTGGGCATGTCCCCTGCAACAGAAAAAAAACCCTCTCATTTGGGACTGAGGTTTCTGGGACAGAGAGATATGATTTAGCCAAGGTTGACAGCAGTGGGTAACATTGTGCATTGTCTTTCCACCACTTGAGAGGACAAACCATGAGTGAGATAGAGGTCTCTTTGCGGTACAAGTCAATGTCTCCATCAATCTAACAAGTGTGCTGTGTTCTGCTGGCCCCATGACTGTTTTTAGTCGTATTCCCCGACTTATATTTCACCACAGTCTGGCAGTGCCTGCATATTGTTTTTTTCTTTGTCTGTCACCTTTTCTCCTTTTTCGTATCTTTTTAGAAAGAAACCGAAATGCTTCCACACATCCGATCAAAAACCCGCTTTAGGTTCGATCATTTCCAGCTGTTTTTCTTCCCCGCTACTAGCAACACACTCCATTTTCCTATTACTGGATCTGTAGTGACAACAGACCGCAAAGGATGATGGCCACGCCTAGGCTGATGGGAATTGTAGTTCCCGCTACCTCCCGTTCGCTTCATTCGCCTAAGCAAACTTTTCTCAGAAATATAGTTTTATTGAGTTAAAAATTACTATTGCGGTATGACAGGTATTTACAATATTGTTACATCCCTAATAATGACCGTTAATTGCGACATAACAGTCTTGTAAAAAGGGTCCATTAGTTTAATACTGTATTGTTTCTGTTACTTTCTCTACAGTATGTTGACAGACTCAATGACATGGTAGCTGCCCCTCCACCCACTCCTCCGCTGCTGGTATCTGGTGCACCTGGATCAGGCAAATCCCTTTTGCTGGCTAAATGGTTATTTCATCTTAATTCTAAGAGTTTTTAATTGCACGACAACTATGTATGTCCATCATCATACAATGTTATTCAATCAAACAATATCATTTCTATACAGGATAGAGTTACAGCAGAAACACTCTCCCAACACCCTCATCCTTTATCATTTTACGGGACGTCCTCTCTCTACCAGCACAGATCCTGTGCTTATCATTAAACGCCTCACAGTAAAGGTGAGACACTGACACACACACACACACACACTAATTTCATTCTATTTCCATGACACACCATAGGGGTATTGCACAAAAGTAAAATTAGGGATTTCGCTGGGATTTTGATTCTATCCTGATTGAATTTAGCATTGACTCATTTAGCATGACATTAGGCTTAATTAAGTTACTATGGAGATTTATTCTTTGTAGTTAGCCTGCACCAGAGCAGTCTAATAACCAGTCTAAGGTTAATCCAAGTAATTTATTATATTTTAGTTTTGTTGTCACTGCTATTAGAAATTAATGTGTTTTACTGTTACTCCGTGCACTTGGCTATTAACAAATATTTTCCAAATATTAGAATTAAAAATAAGTATGTTTAATTATATTAGCAATCATTTTAGATATCTTCGTGTATATCTGTTTCAGATTTTATTATAGGGGAAATATTTATAGAAAAAATATAGATAAAAGATATATACAGTTCTCAGCATAAATGAGTGCAGCCCCTTTTAAAAATGGATATGGACAATAATTTTGCTGCATTCGAATAAAAATAAGACTTACTTAAAATAAATTAATTAAAATAAGACTGTTCACCTAACATCTTTAGGTATAGAAAGATAGTACATTTAAGTTCAAACAAGATATTGCAAAAATAAAAATGACAAACAATAATAAGTGCAATATTGTTAAGTGTTTGCAATAATCTTAATGATTAATTAGTTGCATGAATGTCCAATGGTCACATTTAAGACAAAGCGAGCAATTAAATTTGTTACTTCATCACACCCTATATATTACTGTTAATTCTCTGAATAATAATAAGAAGAATTCCCTGATTGGTGGGTGAGAGAGGTGTGTTTCAACACGTTACCTGATTGGCTCACATCCTGTTTTATTCATACTTGTATTATTGATTCTGTGACTGATCCTGTGGTCTGTTAACAAATGCCACGAATGTGCACTTATCTTGGCTATCTACATCGGCAGAGGCGGATTAATGTAAGGCCTAGGTGGGGCTGAAGCCCCTGGGCCTATGAAAGAAGGGGCCCCTTAATTGGCTGAAAAATTAATTTGTGCTATGACGCGGGAAACGCCTCTTTGCATTATGCTTTCTCTTGTTGATAATGTGAAGAATTCCTTTCGGTTCGCTGCTGTTAAAAAATGCCGTTGCTAAACTGGGACTCAGAGTGGCTGTAGCCCAATCAGAATATTGAATATCCCTGTTTTAGTCACCCTTAAGTGTGATCAGATGTCCCAACTTTCCCAGGACAGTCCTTTATTTCGGGACTACCTCAAAAACCGTCCAGTCGGCTAACCGAGCTCGTCATAGAACAAAAAAAAAAAAAATCAAACAGTTTTCATCATTGATACACTTGTACGTGTAGTAACAGAAGCTGAGATTGGCAGAATCATGATAAATGGACTCATAACTGAAGCGCTGCCTCGGGACAGTGTATGAATAAATCAAATAGTCAGCACAAGCAGTTATTAAAATATCCATCGTTGCAAAGTAACTATCTCCCTACACTTGGTTATGCTTTACAGTAAGTCTAACTGAACCGGTTAGAAAGCAAACTTTTTTTATGAAGGTTTACTTTGCCCCTTTATAATAACAACAGTAATAATATGAAGCAATGAAATATTGGTGCTGACTTTCATTAGACAATATATCTAATGCAACAAACAGACAAATAAATAAATAAATAAATAAATAAATAAATAAATAAATAAATAAATAAAGGATGCTAGCCTTCTGTAACTCAGAAGACCACAATAACCTGTTTTGGATATTTGAAGCATGGATATTAAAGATATTTTTTTATTAGGGATTTATGGTCAGCTAAAGTTCTAAAGACCCTTTTAAAGGTAAACCTCTATTTAAAGTATTTATTATAAAGCACTAATTTAGGAAGTATTGCAAATGTTTTTTTATGAATGTTCACTTTGCCCCTTTTATAAAAACAACAGTAATAATATGGAGCAATGAAATATTGGCGCTGGCTTTCATTAAACAATATATCTGATGCAACAAACAAACAAATAAATAAATAAGATAAAATAGTAATAAATAAATAAATAAACAAATAAATAAATAAAATAAGGATGCTAGCCTTCTTTAACTCAGAAGATCACAATAAGCTATTTTGGTAACACTTTACAATAAGGTTCATTAATTAATGCATTTACTAACATGGACTAATCATGAACAACACTTGTACAGCATTTATTAATCATAATTGAACATTTACTAATGCATTATTAACATCCAAGTCCATGCATGTTAACATTAGTTAATGCACCATGAGTTAACAAACTAACAATGAACTACTGTATTTTCATTAACTAACGTTAACTAACATGAACAAATACAGTAGTAGATGTATTGTTCATTGTTTGTTTATGTTAGTAAATGCATTAATTAACATTAACTAATGAACCTTATTGTAAAGTGTGACCGCTATTTTGGATATTTGAAGCATGGATAATAAAGGTATTATTTTATTAGGGATTTATGGTCAGTTAAAGTTCTAAAGAACCTTTTTCAAGGTAAACCTCTTTTTAAAGTATTTATTATAAAGCACTAATTTAGGAAGTATTGCAAATGTTTTTTGTTTGTTTGTTTGTTTTGCTGATTTTTGCAGCCTGTTTGAACTTTAAAGTTCATATTATGTCATTACTTAGTTTTGTATACTTGCAGACCTATTTTAATAAAATATGAAAAAAATATATAATAATCAAATATAAATGAAATTATATAAAATTAGATGATAATACTAATTAGTAATTTGTTTATAATAATAAAAATAATAACAACAACAATTAAAAAAAAATATATATACATACTTTTATATATATATATATATATATATATATATATATATATATATATATATATATATATATATATATATATATATATATATATATATATATATATATATATATATATATATATATACACATACATACTTTTGTGAGGTAAATAAAAAATTAAAACGGGGGCCCTTGGATTTGCTATAGCCTCAGGTCCCAATGTGTTCATAATTTGGCCTTGTACATCAGGCTTGACAAAGCTGCTCGTTCTCATCCTGGATCATCAGTAAATGTGCAACAGTCTAAGCCAGGAAGACTCGATTAAACTAGGTCAAGCTGCACTTTTGCTGTTATCCTGTCTTTTTTGATTCCGCTTTTGAGCAATACCTCTTAGGCTGACAGTTAGTCATCCCATCTGCATGCATCTGCGATGCTATCAGTAAGAGAGAGAACTCTGATTGACTGTTCAGTTTAAGAGTCTGTGTGTAAGAGTGAAAGCAAAAGTGAAGAAAGCTTTTCTAGATTTGTCATCTTACCTAAGAATTTCATTGGGTAACACTGTATCTTGATGGTCCACTTGAGTATTAGTAGACTTTCTGCTTAATATCTGTTGACACTGCTCCTTCAACAGACATTTGACTGACTATAAGAAACTTTGCAAGTACATGTCAACTTATTCTAACCCTAACCAGTCTACTTATAATCTAATGAGAATTTGTTGGCATGTAGATGCAATGTAACTTAAATTCAACAAACAGACCATAAAAATAAAGTGATACTTTTCAATGCATTTCAATGCTATTCATAACAGCATAAGCCATCATTATGTATATTCAGTCAGAACAGTAATTAAGTATTGCTTTGCTTATGTTTTGCATATAGTACATTTAGTTTTAATTTACATTTTTCTATGATAAATGCATACTATTAATACATGCTTATATAGACAGTTATATCATCTTATGCAGACTTGGACAGCTCACTGTTGGCTCTAATCTTTGCAGTGTGTTCAAGTGCTAATTCTTTTAAACTTTTTTGCAAGTGCAGAAACACGCAAGGAGATGAATTTTTTTAATTTTATCAGCATCAGGTCTTTGATGTGGGTTTAGTGTGTCATGGCCCTTAGGGTCCTTAAACTGTAAAAGAACAGAGGCACTGAACACTAGTTCCTTTATTACTGGCGTTTTCCAGAAACATGCAAAACCTGCTTGTTGTGCAAAATGTTGTCAGTAAGCAGCAGTACAAGGGCTGGGTCTTATATTATATTATAATATAATATATTATATTATATTATATTATATTATATTATATTATATTATTATTATATTATATTATATTATATTATATTATTATATTATTATATTTTGGTCAATATGATATAATTCCGACATCTTTATAATATTTAAAAAGCCATTATTTTCCATTATGGGTGTCTGTACAAGTCTATGAAATCTCCTCCTATAACACAATGAAATATTTTAGAACTAAAAGAACAATACAAAAAAAAATAATGTTCACATTTTATTTGTATCAACTTTAATACGGACAAATAAATAAAAAATAAAATAAACCTAACATTTTCAGACTTTATTAATATATTTACCCTTAAACTATAGAATAGGTTAATTAACCTTTTAGACCAAACTAACAAACAGACTTGCAGTCAGGATAAACAAATGAGCAAACATCATACTGACTTCAGTTCTAATCATTATTCGAATTGCAAAAAAAAGATAACAGATAACAGCGTTTCTCACTTGCCTTTTTGTTAAGTGGAATCTTGAACACCACTGATTGCCATTGTGCTCACATGCTCAACAGAATTGTCTGTGATTTGCTACGTCATGATCATCACTTCATTGATTGCCTTCACAGACATGTTAGCATTTGAATGTCATGTTTATCAGCTGAACAGTCATATAGAATGCTGATGCATGAGCTGATTTACAAAGCTTTCAAATGCTTCAGAGGACTTTCAGAGCTGTAATTATTACTGATGCTGCATGTGCTCTACATCACTGCTCTTTCTGATGGCTGGACCATGAACATCATTCAATGTCAAATCATGTCAATGTTATTAAAAAAATAAATAAATAAAAATCTGTTGTGATATATATTGATGTTGAATTATAGTCCAGCTCTACAATTCCTGATAAAAGTCTTGTCGTCTGTCACAGCAACAAAATATGACTTGACTTCTAGTTGATCATTTGGAACATGGCAGAAGGTAGTTTTCCCATGAATCATCTGTTGAACTGCAACCCAATCATCACAGAAGACTCATTGGAACCCTCATAGAAATCAGTCAAGTTTGGTGAAGGAAAAATCATGGTTTGGGGTTACATTCAGTATGGGGAGTGTGAAATATCTGCAGAGTGGATAGTAACATCAACAACCTGAGGTATCAAGACATGTGCCATTACATCACAAAACACAGGGGAGGGCAAATTATTCAGCAGGATAGCGCTCCTTCAGCCTCCACAATAAAGTTCCTCAAAGCAAAGGAGGTCAAGGTGCTCCAAGATTGGCCAGCTCAGTCCCCAGAAATGAACATTATTAAGCATGTCTGGAATAAGATGTAGGAGGAGGCATTTAAAATGAATCCAAATATTCTTGATGAACTCTGTTAGTCCTGCAAGAATGCTTTTTTTGCCATTCCAGATGACTTTATTAAAAGGTTAATCAATAAGACTGTGGGGGAAACCGGAGCACCCGGAGGAAACCCACGCGAACGCAGGGAGAACATGCAAACTCCACACAGAAACGCCTACTAAGCTGAGGCTCGAACCAGCAACCTTCTTGCTGTGAGGCGACAGCACTACCTACTGCGCCACTGCATCGCCCCATTGACTTCTGATACCAAATGATCAACTAGAAATCAAGTTATTCTTTGTTGTCTCTAAAACTGGATAGGCGACAAGACTTTTGTCAGTTAGTGTATGCTGTACCTACAATTTGACTAAAATATGCAAGTAATTTTTATATCTAACTCCTTTTTGGTTATTGTTAGCAAAAATCCGTCTTCATTTCTCATGTGCAAAGCTGTGTTCATCAGTGTGAGCTGTGGTTTTCACACTTGCCAGCACTGACTGTGCAGCTGAGCATTTAACCAGCATTGTTACTTTTTATATTTATGTATATGTTCGTTTGATAAAAAAATTGTATCGGTAATAGCGGGCTGCAATGTCAAGCAGTGGGAAATTTTATGCAATTATATGTGCCAGAGGTGATTCAGTAATACAGTAATACAGACAAGAGTCAGCAGAAGCTCAAAGCTCAGTTGAGCAGTGTGTGTGTTTGTGGTGCATTGTTTTTACAACCACAGGAATGGAGGTAGCAATCCATTCTTGAGGTGGAAAAAATTGCCTCAGAGAGAAATGAATCAAAATGAGTCAATGTGAACTGACATGTTTTTGACAGTTTAAATATAAATGAACACCCTTTTTACTCTATTTGCCTATTATGGATTTTTTTTTTATCAACTCCCTAAAAAATTATATCAACTTGTCTAAATGGGCATCAAATGTTAACTTTAAGTTCAATTCAATTCATGTTTATTTCTATAGCTCTTTTACAATGTAGATTGTGTCAAACCAGCTTAACATAGAAGTTCTAGTAAAGTGAAAGTGTCAGTCCACTTTTCAGAGTTGAAGTTCAGTTCAGTGTGGTTTAATTTTCACTGATGACAGTCCAACTAAGCAAGCTAGTGGCGAGGAACAAACTTCACCAATTAACGAAAGTGTAAGAAAAACCTTAAGAGAAACCAGGCTCAGTTGGGCACGATCATTTCTCTTTGGGACAAACTTCTTGTGCAGATCTGCAGTCTAGATGCTGAACGTTCATCGTGGAGAAGCTGCAGGTGTGTGAAGGTCACCAGTGGTGTACAGGCTGCCCCATGGGATCAATATGGAGACTCGTCTGTCACTGGGGTCTTTCAGAAATCAATCTAGTACTCTCCACTCCTTCATGACCATTTTTCTCAGGATACAGCCTGGTCCAGGATTATGGAGACCTCCAGAAGTCCTCTATGCTTGGCATTATCTTATCTCTGGCATCTAAGTCTGCTAGTGTCACCTAAAGTTATTTAATCACCAGCTACCTTGCGCCTTTTAGTGCCTCTCTATATTAAATTAGTTGCATGTAAATAAAATTTAATCATACCCTTGCACTGTACATGAATAGTGTTGATCTGATGATTAATATTAGACATCCTGGACTTTAGGTAAAAAGTCATAGCCTGCACATACCTTTAAACATTTAAATAATGGTAACTCTTCAAAATCTGAGTATGTGGATAGCATTAAGGATTGAGGACACATGTAACTCTTTTAAACCCAGGGTATCATAATTAGACACAGCAAGAGGATACCTGCTGTCTAATAAGGGTATTTTGATTTGTTCAGTGGAGATTGAGTACTGAAAAGTTCTTGGTTTTTGAGCAAAATGTGAATGTGACATTGTTTTGGTGACACTTTAGTTTATTTACCAATTTTTACTATTAATTAGTGGCTTATGACCTGCCTATTATTAAGATATGGCTGTTTATTAGTTCTTATAAAGTACATATTCTGTAGGTTCTTATTCTACATCCCGAATCCTACCCTAAACCAAACTATTGCCCTTATAATTATTAAAAAGAAGCAAATTAGGAGTTTCTTAAGGCATAAGTCATAGTTAATGGTTAATAATAGTAAGAATTTGTACTTTTAAAGTGAAATAAAGTGTTGTAAATATCTAAAAACAAATCGCATTTATACATTCATTCTGTGTAGCTCCTCCAGCATTTCTGGTCTATTTCCGGCCTTTCAATGGACCCTTCGAAGATCCTCGAAGAGTTCCCACGCTGGCTAGAGCGACTGTCTGCACGTCACCATGGAAACATCATAATCATCATTGATTCCATTGACCAAATACAGGTAACATTTCCTCAAATGACCTTCCTCGTTGAGTTGTGGTGTGTTTGTTTGTGGTCGGGTTTAGAGATCTCTGCTGTTGAAGACAACACTAAACTCCCACATGTGTGCGTCATAGTAAATCACTTGACATTTTGTCTGTAATTGATTGCATAATTCTAAAATGTCAGCGATCATTTTATAAATATTCTCTTAAAACAGTTTTAATTGAGATGAATGAAATTACACAAATTTTACCCTGTTTTAGAATTGGACTATTTTGGCTTGATCTAAATTTCACTTAGGAGCATTGCATTTCGCTTTAGCATTGTAGCAAATTAGCTCTAAGTGAAAGATCAAAGATTAATTTGAAGTGGGCTTCAAAAGAATGGATTCTTTAAATCGGAACAAACAAATTGTCCAGCAATCATTCGAACAAACAGTTGACTTCAACTATCGCTATTGCTATCAAAAATAAAAACCCATTTATGTTTAAGCAGGGTAGCAAGATCGAAGTAAGGCATTAGATGCATAAACATGCACAGGCGTCTTTCTTTACACAAAATGAAACTTTATTGACTAATCTTAACAGAAACTAACACAAACACACATTTTAAGAAGTAAAGGAAGAAAAATAAGAGTTTGAGAGTGTGTAATGATGTAAAAACCTCAGATTTTGTAAGACCAAACCATGCGAACCAAAAATAATCAATTTAACCCTTATGTGGTTTCTTTATGGTTACATTTAATGACACCAGTTCAGTGGTAATCTCGAGGCGCCACTTGTGTTTACTGTGTGATGTGAACATGATCTCTGTTGAGCTGGGTTCCCACATGGTTAGCCAGTGGTCGACTGTTTGTTCTGTAAGGCTTGGAGTGGGGTGTAGTCTGTCGTTTCAAGTTTGAGGCAGCAAAACGACTAGTCGTGTTGACTTCTGGTTCCGCAGCGCACTAAACTTAATTAGACTCTCAACGATTAAGAAAGAAAAGTAATGTAGATGGGAACATTTGTGCTGCTATGTTATTTATTGCCAGGGTCCACGTCTGCTCCCTGGACCTAAAGAAAAGCTGTCCTGAGCTGGAACAGAACAGCTCTCTCTCTCTTGAGGTCACTCCTTTTCCTCTGTGCTTGTTCTTCTAGTCACCAGATTTTATAAGGATTATTTTGTACCACTCTCGCGAGTTGAGTTGAGCAATGAGAAAGTTACCTTTCCAAGGCACATTTTAAAGTCCTTTGTTGTAAAGCTTGGTGATTTGCATATACATTCTGGGTAAATGCTGATGCAAAAATGTTTAAAGTTTCTTTAAATGTTAATATGTTGCTAAAATGTAAACAGTCGTTCAGTACACCAAATTAGCTTCACAGGGACATCAAACATGAACCATTCATGGATTTTGTTTAGCTGTGGTAGAGTTTAACATTGATTCCAGGAGTATTAAAACAACCATAATATAAATACGAGCAAGAGACTTGTTGCAAAACACTTAATTACACATAAAGAGGGAATAAAGGGTTACATGAAGTCTTAAGCAAGTTGAATAGGAGTGTATAGAAGCATGACCATGTTTCTGTCCATTTCCAAGCACCCATTCTTTTGGTGTCGTAATAACCTTTGGAATCGTATTACACACTGACCATTCGGTCTTTTCTGGGTAGGAGAGGTTGACAGTGTATTATTTGTTGAATAAAGCAAAATAATATGTGTCTAATCGGCCACATTTGCAACAGCATTCAATTTTTAATGTCATTTGTAGTGTTTTATGTTACATATATTTAAAAAAAATAATAATAGTATAGAATTATTTTATTTTTAGTCATACATAGGTTGTTAACTAAACCATGAAAACAATCATCATCTTTTGCTATCGTCCCAAATTTCCCCCTTGTAATCCTCTTCATGTTTAAGATAATCTTTTATTTCCCAGAATGCTGAGCGCCACATGAAATGGTTGATTGATCCGCTTCCTGCTAATGTGCGAGTGCTGGTGTCGGTTAATGTGGAGACCTGCCCACAAGCATGGAGGTTTGTGGTTTACAAATACACATAGTATATTATTTTCAAATAAATATTACATTATATTAAAAATCACAAGCAAGCATTCACCAACAAAACTTTTTTTAGATTGTGGCCCACACTGCACCTAGATCCACTCAATCCCAGAGAGGTAAAGAGTGTCATCAGCACGGAGTGTGTGAGCGTGGATATCAAACTCAGTAAAGATCAGGTAAACTTTAATATACACTCATCGGCCACTTTATTAGGTACACCTTACTAGTACTGGGTTGGACACCCTTTTGCCTTCAGAACTACTGTACCTTGTTGGAAAAGATTCAATTTCAACAAGGTACTGGAAATATTCCTCACAGATTTTGGTCCATATTGATATTATAGGGTCACAGTTACTGCAGATTTGTTGGCTTTACATCCATGATGCGAATCTCCCGTTCCACCACATCTCAAAGGTGCTCTATTGGATTGAGATCTGGTGACTGGAGGCCATTTGAGTATACTGAACTCAATGTCTTGTTCAAGAAACCAGTCTGAGATGATCCACACTTTATAATATGGCGTGTTATTCTGCAGGAAGTAGCCATAAGAAGGTAATGGGCCCAAAGTGTGCCAAGAAATTATCCCCTACACCATTACACCACCACCACCAGCATAAACCATACATGTAAGTACAACAATGGATCCATGCTTTCATGTTGTTGACGCCAAATTCTTGAACCAGTCTGGCCATTCTCCTCTGATCTCTGGCATCAACAAGACATTTGCGCCCACAGAACTGCCGCTCACTGGATATTTTCTCTTTTTCCGACTATTCTCTGTAAACTCTAGAGATGGTTGTGCGTGAAAATCCTTGTAGACCAGCAGTTTCTGAAATACTCAGACCAGCCCATCTAGCACCAACAACCATGCCATGTTCAAAATCACTTAAATCACCTTTCTTCCCAATTCTGATGCTCTGTTTGGACTGCAGCAGATCACCTTGATCATATCTATATGCCTAAATGCACTGAGTTGCAGACATGTGATTGGCTGATCAGAAATTTACATTAACAATAAGTTGGACAAGTGTACCTAAAAAAGTGGTGTGGGAGTACAAGTCTGTGTTCATTTGTGTTTATATCTGTGTATCAAATGAGACTGAGCATCTGTCAAACAGGAGAAGAAGCTGGAGAAACACTGTCGTTCAGCAGCAACATGCAACGCACTCTATGTCTCACTACTGGCCAGACTCATTACACAGTAAGTAGATTTGCGAGCGAGTGACTATATTTAGAAAAAGAATATATCACATCAAACAACTCCTTTAAGAATCACATGGCAGCCTCAATATACCTATAATACTGTCATTTTAAATCTTTCTATATGCTTTTAATTAATAAAATGTAATAATTTAGACAAGAGGATATTTACAACTGGTGACGCGGTGGCGCAGTATGTAGTGCTGTTGCCTCACAGCAAGAAGGTCGCTGGTTCGAGTCTCGGCTGGGTCAGTTGCCGTTTTTGTGTGGAGCTTGTTTGTTCTCCCCATATTTGCGTGGTTTTCCTACAGGTGCTCCAGTTTCCCCCACAGTCAAAAAACATGTGGTACAGGTGAATTCGGTAAGTTAAATTGTCTGTAGTGTATGAGTGTGTATGGATGTTTACCAGAGATGGGTTGCAGCTGGAAGGGCATCCACTGCGTAAAACATATGCTGGATGAGTTGGCGGTTCATTCCGCTGTGGCGACCGCAGATTAATAAAGCGACTAAACCGAAAAGAAAATCAATGAGTGAATGAAATTTACATCCATCAATTTGTTTTTGTTTTTGTTTTGTTTTTTGTTTTTTTTACTATGTACAATATTTGAGTGTGCTATTTGTGTATTCATAAATGTGGTTAAGTTAAAATAAATTAAATTAACATATATTGTGCATGTATGCACGTACCGTGGGGGAAATAAGTATTCAACACTTCATTATTTTTCTCAGAAAACTTGTTTCCAAAGGTGCTGCTGACTTGAAATTTTCACCAGATGTTGGTAACAACCAAAGAAATCTATACATGCAAAGTAAACAATATTGATTTGTTTACAAATGAAGTTATGTGTCATAAAATGAAATGACGCAGGGAAAAGTCACACCTTAGCGCAAGAAGGCCTCACTGAATCCATCTAATCTCAAAAACTTTAGCCCCATTTCCGCCTTACCCTTCATTTCAAAAATTGTAGAAAAAAAATTGTACTTAATCAATTACAAAGATTTCGATCCCAGAATGGTATGGCTGAGGCTTTTCAATCTGGCTTTAGGCCGGCTCATAGCACTGAATCCGCTCTAGTAAGAGTTTTGAATGACATCTATCTCCGCACTGATGCTGGTAATTGTGTGGCCTTAATTTTGCTGGATTTATCTGCAGCCTTCGATATCATTGACCACTCTGTGTTATTATCTCGGCTAGAGTCCTGGGTTAGGCTGAGGGGGTATAGTGCTGAAATGGTTTAAATCATACATCTCCGACAGGAAGTTTTTTGTCAAAATCGGTAACTATTCCTTCTCCACGGCACCGCTAACATGTGGTCTTCTTCAGGGCTCGATTCTAGCACCTTCACTATTCTCTCTTTGTGTGCTCCCACTAGGTTCTATTTTCAGAAAATATGGCCTGCACTTTCATCTTCATGCAGACGATACACAAATCTATCTCTCACTCAAAAAGCAAAATGAGTCCTCTGTTGTGAACTCATTGTCACTGTGCCTGGAGGAGGTAAAAGCATGTCTTTCTGAGTACTTATTATTTCTAAATGAGGAGAAAACAGAGGTTGTTATATTTAGGCCCAATAATTTGTCAAGCTGTAAACGCCCCAGGTTACGCAACTTGGAGGAGTTCAGATCACCCCAGGTACAAAACCTGGGCATAACATTAAACCAGAACTTAAAATTTGATAAACATATCTCAAAAGTGGTTGGAAATAGTTTCTACCAACTCCACCTTCTCTCTAAAATGAAATCCTCTCTTCCTTCACACTCTCTAGAAATTGCCATACACGCGCTTATAACCTCCCGGTTGGACTATTGTAACTCTCTCTATTTTGGGCTGCCTAAGTCTCAGATTGGTCGCCTGCAATACAGTATGCAGCAGCTAGATTTTTAACAAAAAAAACGAAATATGCCCATGTCACTCCTCCATTGGTTACCGGTGACACAAAGAATCAAATTTAATATCCTTCTCTTTGTGTTTAAAACCCTACATGGTCTGGGCCCTCAATAGTTATTTACACTCCATCCAGATGCTTGCATTCCGCTGATCAGTTTTTATTAAAAGTTTCAAAGGCCCACCTCAAAAGTAGGGGCGAACGTGCTTTTGCCATAGCAGGTCCTTGCCTCTGGACACCCTGCCATTAGAACTAAAGTAGGCTTTGTTGCTGCTTATTTTTAAGTCTAAATCTGGGTCTTTTGAAGGATAAGTCCTTCTCTTCGGGAGAGGGGGGGGGGGGTGTTGGTAGTGGCGAAGAGGATCAAAATCAAAAGATCCTGTTCTTAATTTTGTTTAGGGTGGTCAACTGTGGTGGCATCTTTTAATTTGGCAAAAATTTTATTTAATTTTTTTGCTCTTTTTTTATTGTTACACTCTCTATGTTCTTTCCTTTTATGTGCCTATTGCTGTTACTGTTTTTATGCCCATATCGTTTATTTTTTTCTCTGTAAAGCAGAAATTGAAAATGGCAGTTGGAAATGTGCTATATAAATAAATTGAACTTGAACTTGAAAAGTATTGAACACATGACGAAAGGGAGGTGTAAAATGGCAGTGAAAGCTCAGACTGCAGCTGAAATCTCAGAGTAGTTATTCAGCAACGCTCTGCCCTTCCTCATTGTTGGACTAAAGCAGGTGATATTAATTTACATCTACATTATCAGGATGATGAAGATAAAACCATGGTGGACATTTCAGCAAGACTATGACCCAAAACACAGCCGAGAAAACTCTCAAATGGTTACAGAAAGATAAAATCGTGCTGTCGAATAGCCCAGCCAATCACCTGACTTGAATCTAATAGGAAATACAAAATAAAGATTAGATTTGAAAGACTGATAGATTTGTTGAAGTCTGGGGAAAAAATCAGACCTGAGCAATGCATGACTTCATTCTCCACATGAGAGGCATATTGCAAGTAAAATATCTGATGGTTACATCAGTCATAGTTTACTAGGAAGTGTACAGGCCATTGCTTTGTCTGACTTCAGATCTTTGACCACAGGACATCAGTATTCTCTCACACTGCTCTGCTGTGGTCTTGATAATCTTTTCCTCAATCTCTTCAGTGACTAAAGATCAAAAGCCATAACTCTGTTGCCAGTGATCAAGACTTTGGGCTTGTCCTTTCATTATTTCACTGTTTTCAGCTTCAAAGAACTTTTTTCTTTAGTCATTTTGCTGTGTGACAGCATTGTCATGCATGAAAACTGCTGGCTGATTGGGCAACGAGGGAAAGAACCACATATTGCAAAGTAGCTTCTGATAAACATTCATACTGACCCTGACATTTAGCTGTATAAGACAAGAAAACATCCCCCAGACCATGACGTTTTCTCCTCCACCTTTTAATGACTGCTTTACACATTTACATTTATTAATTTTGCAGACACTATTAACCCATGTGTCTTACAAAACTTGATAAAAGAAGCACTTTCAATCACCAGAGAGTACAGTGCCTATAAGACATTATCATACCCTGTGAAAATCTATACCTTTACTGACACCTTGCTTTTGAAGAGACCTTCGGGATAAGGTTGTAGAAAGGAACAGGTTAGGATAAGCCTACAAAAACTCTTCAAATGCTGGAAAAGTTATTTGGAACGTGATTTAATTTCATTCTGTATGATAAATTAATAAAGTACTATTTTAATTAAAATAGTAATTATTTCAAAGGGGTTTGATGATGTTCTATAGGCACTGTACATTTAATGACAAGTTTAATTTGGTTTAGCGTTATTGATTGATTGATTAATTGATTGATTGATTGTCTAATTGATTTATTTGGAGGGGAAAGAGTGTTTCATACAGGTGGTTTGTCAACTCACAAGCATGGAGCACACTTAGAATTGCACAATTTTTCCCAAGAAACATGGACTGTTTATTAAAAAATATATATATAAATATAAAATATAAAAATATAAGTGTTTTGTATAAATAGGGATTGCTATTGTTAGATAAATTAACTATTAGGTATTTATGAAAGAGATGAGTATTCAGATTTTTCTTAAAATAGTCAGATTCTCAGTTCGCATAGAGTTTGGCAAGTCATTTCACCAGGAAGTAACATTAGAATTGAAGGTCCTTACGATTTAATTTTGTGCCTCTTTAGGGATGGAATCACAAAGTGACATTTAGTAACAGAGTGCAGGTTCCTGGTGAGCATGTAAGCCTGAAGTAGTGGGCTCAAGTAGAAGGCTGTAGAGCCAGTAGTTGTTTTGTAGGTGAGTAACAGCTTCTTGAATTTCCCAGTACTGGGTTGCGGCTGGAAGGGCACTGAAAAGTGTGTTTCCCAGTACTGGGTTGCGGCTGGAAGGGCATCCACTGCGTGAAATTTATTTAGAGTAGTTGGTGGTCTACTACACAAAGTGACATTCAGTAACAGAGTGTATGTTCCTGGTAAGCATTTAAGCCTTAAGTAGTTTGCTTAAGGGTGCAAAGCCAGCAGTTTTTTTGTAGGTGAATAACAGCTCCTTGAATTTGATGCAAGCAGCGATTGGCAGTGTTGGCTGATGAATAAAGGTGTGACGTACTATTTTGTGTTCATCGAAGATCACTCTTGCTGCTGCATTCTGAATCAGTTGAAGAGGCTTGATTGAGTTGATTGGAAAGCCAGCAAAGAGAGTATTGCTAATTGCAATAGTCTGAACAGAACAAGAGCTTGGACAAGCAGTTAAGCAGCATGTTTTGATAGGAAAGGTCTAATATTCCTGATGTTATACTTTAGAAAGATTAGGTTCAGTCTTTGTCCAACTTAAAGAACATAATGTTTTTGTTTTTAAAAGATGTCTAATAGATGACTAATAGACATGTAAACAGAGCCGTCTTGGCTAAAACAAGGCTAAATTTGGGCTGTCAGTGAAAATCTAATAGACATCTAGGAACAGGCCTGTCTATTTGATGACTAGTCTAGTTTTGGGCTATTCTTAGATATTATTAGATTTTCACTGACAGCCCAAGTTTAGCCTTGTTTTAGCCAAGATGTCTACGTTTACATGTCTATTGGACATATATTAAACAAAAAAAAAAAGGTTTGTTGGGAGGTGAACTATGGACACAACATGCTCTTCCACAAAAGTTAGTTTAGCTTTTTCATTCTTTTTGCTCATGAGAGGTTTTCTTAAATGTCTCATGAGAAATTCTCTTAAATGTCAGATCTTAACCCTGTTCTGCACTGAACTGATGAAAAACTCCAGCTGCAGTGTTGAACCAAATACCCAATGCCCATTAAGAATCCCCACTTTATCCTGTCCTTCATCATTCATGGATGAGCAGCCAATTTAGAGAAGCTGATAATGTTAGTTGTAAAGATGCAGTATTCTAGAAATCACTGTTCCATTGTATTAGTGATTGGAGCGAGCCATGTTGCATACTGTATGTGGCATCTATGTATGACAATATTTTTTTATGTTTCCACTATTAGCTTCAGTACCTCTTGGACATTGGACAGAACTCTACAACAGTGTGTAATGTGTCAAGATACAGTATCACTCTACAGACTTGGGCTGAAGGTAGCACTGGACTCACTAAACAGTGATCAGGAAAAACACATCATGAAAGAGGTGAACTGTCTGTTCTGAAGTGGAGTATCATTTAAAAGTCACTTCATTAACTTTTGATCTTAATTCATTTGTATATCATGCAGTTATTGTGCCTAGTTTGTGCCAGCCACAACGGCATCAGCGAATCAGAAGTCTTGGAGCTGTTCCCAGACCTGACTTTCCCTGCTCTCATCTCAATGCTACACAATCTGGAGAGGCTTCTCATTATTACTTATGCCTGTGGGCTTATACGGTTTCAGCACTCACAGGTGCGCATGACTATATTTGTCAATATTCTTTAAGGTCTCTGTGTGTAAAATTTATTTTGGTATTTTGATCTTTGTTGGCTAAGAAACTCGCTTTCACATCTCATTTATAGAAATAACTGAAACTGAAGTGAATTATAGTGAAACCGGTTTGTGTGGGTTATTTTTCCAGGCATGTGAAGGGGTCAACCAAGAGTTTCTGGATGGTGACAAATGCCGTGGATCCTACAGAGAGAAATGTATTCGCTTCTTCAGCCAGCAGTTGGAGTAAGAACATGTATTTACACATATTAAAGGAATTTGGATGTGCAGCATTTAAATGTGTTTGCCTATTTACTCAACTGAGAAGCATTGCATGTAAAAGGTTACTCTTTATTTTGTTGCTCCCCTTTGGACATTCTGTTAATTTTACTTAAAGGGGTGGTCCACTACGATATCATATTTTAAACTTTAGTTGGTGTGTAATGTAGCTGTGTGAACATAAACAACATCTCTGATTGTAAAAAGCTCAAGGTTCAATGCAAAGGGAGACCTTGGTTTTTACAGAGTTAGCTTAGCAAAGCCTATAATGAACGAATTTTGGGGACTACAAAAAATACTTCAGGCCCTTGTGAGAACACAAAGGTACTTTTACCGCGCACATACACTGCGCTGCTAAGGGCTGTGGCCAGAGGCGCTGTAATGTAAAGCAGAGAAAGCTAAAATGCGTCCAAACGCCGCTGTTTCCACAGAGCTTCGTCTGTTTCTGTATTTGGGCTTCCAAAGTACACGACACATAGACAGAAGTGTTTACAGTTCAATATTAATTATGTTCCAGAGAATTGTAAAACACATTGCAAGCATGATTTGACAAAACACAGCTCCAGAATCTCTCCTAGTTCAGTGCTGGATTCGGTTAAAATCTCCTCAAAGCAGAAGCTGTAAACTACAACCTATAAGTGTTTTTATTTGTTTAAAAATTGATCATGACATGTACAGTGTCTAGCGTTAACGGTATGCTGTAGCAACGATGTAAACAATGGGAAATGCTGTTTTGCACCGCAAACGATTTAAATACAAATTCATATTTATCAGTCAAACTGCTGTAAAAACACACACACTCCACCAGGGCATTCGTGTCTCTCTATGAGTGACTTTGCATTGATTCTCTTTAGGCAGCTTTTCCATGCATTTTACATCTCAAATAATAAAGTCACAAAAGATATGTGGATGATTCATATAACTCACACCTGCATATTCTGGATATATGTGAAAGAAGTCATGTTATGCGTTGAGTTGAAAAAAAAAATAGGATAGCTCAGCTGACTCGTGTAGCAGCAGAAAAATAAATCAAGGCTCACACAGTTATATATATATATATATATATTTCCTAGTTTCCCATATGTATGCAACTACAGTAAGAAATGATCAGCAATCGGTACATACTGTCAGTATTATCTTTGCTTGAACTGACTCAATCTAATCATGTTTATATGAAATTAACCTGCTCCTACGCAAACTTGAGCTACCAGAACTGTTACTATGACAACAAGTCTCAGATGAGTATTGAAGAACGAAACGATAATGGATCGTGTCAAATCGTCAAAATCCAAATCCAGCTAATTGAGTAATCCACATACCAAGAACGGACCCGATTCCCTTGTCTTTTGTATGGCCTAAAAAACATAACCTAAATAGCCAGGTCTGTCATGTTTTATGGTTCTTTTGAAACATTTCTGTTGTGTTCCGTGCTTTTTGAAAGGGTTGCGAGAAAATGCAGCGCGTTTTCCTAAATTGTTTGTGTTGTGAAAAAATACAGCACGTTTTATTTATTTGTTTGCATTGTAAGAAAATACAGTGCGTTTTTTTTAAATGTGTTTGTGTTGTGAGAATTTTAACAAATTTCATCAAACAGATCTTTTCTCAATTTGCTGGCTTTTTTTAATTGCAAGTGTTTTCTTAAACTGCAGCACATTAAGCTCTCTTGGCCACCGTAGTTCTCTCTAGTTTTCTTTCTTTTGTCCTTTTGTGCTGATCAAAAAACCGACGTTGTCCAAAATCATAAATTGCTGCCATGTTGGATCATTTTGTTAATTCAGGCAAGACCGAGTTACCTGGAGAGTGGCTGATGAGTTACCATGGTTACTGCAGCAGCAGGAAGACCGAAGTAAACTTCAGATGAGTCTGCTTAACCTGTTTGTGTCCCAAAACCTCTACAAGAGGTACATTCTCATGTTCCCCCTCTCTATTTTCTCCACTGTTTGTAAATATGTCTTAAAATGGGTTCTTAAATTGTGTTCTTAGGGGTCATTTTTCAGAGCTTCTTGCATACTGGCAGTTTGTGGGTAAGGATAAGTGTTCGATGGCGACGGAGTATTTCGACGCATTGAAAGAGTTTGAGAAGACCTGTGAGAGTGAGCAGAGCATGAGCCGGCTGGCCAACCTATACGAAACACTGGGACGATTCCTTAAAGATCTGGGATTGCTCAGTCAGGTGATACACACTGAAAGACCAATGAACATCTGCCAAATGTTTTCATTCAATTGCCTATTTAGCTACAAGATGTTGGTTAAAAAGTGATTAAAGATGGTTTATGTACGTTTTAGATTCCTCTAAAGCAGGAGTGGCCAACCCTGTTCCTGGAGAGCCACCTTCCTGCAGATTTCAGCTGCTACCCATATCAAACACACCTGAACCAATTAATTAGGACCTGAACACCACGTGATAATTACAGGCAGGTGTGTTTAATATGGGTTGCAACTGAAATCTGCAGGAAGGTGGCTCTCCAGACACAGGGTTGGCCACCCCTGCTCTAAAGCATAAACATATCATAATGTTTGTAGATATTTAGAAAACATGTTAAGTGAGCATTCATGTTCATCTGAAACTCAAAGATGAAGTCAGGTATTCCTGTTTGAAAATGTGCGTTCCGTGTTTTGGTTCGTGTAACCTCACACACTGCCAGTGTACCCCATTTATATTTCATCCCCCTGGGTTCCCTTGGTGGAAAACACAGCACATTTCAGTGCATTTCATTCATGAAAGCTTTTTCAATGTATGTGGGCACTGCCAAGAAATGTGACCAACAGCTTACCAAAATAAGGGCCTACCATAATAATACAAATTTACTTGAGGTGGTTTTTATTTCCAAAAAAATCAAATACATTTTCTTGTCGGCTTAGTCCCTTTATTAATCTGGGGTCGCCACAGCAGAATGAACCACCAACTCTTCCAGCATGTGTTTTACGCAGCGGATGCCCTTCCAGCTGCAACCCATATCTGAGAAACATCCATACACTAAGGACAATCTAGCTTACCCAATGCACCTGTACCGCATGTCTTTGGACTGTGGGGGAAACCGGAGCACCCGGAGGAAACCCACGCGAACGCAGGGAGAACATGCAAACTCCACACAGATATGCCAACTGACCCAGCCGACTCTCGAACCAGTGACTTTCTTGCTGTAAGGTGGTTGGCTCGCCACTGTGATGCTCTGTTTTCTGTGATTTCTCTTTGAATTGTGTATTCCATTTAAATATGTCTGTATTCAATTTAAAAGCTTTTCTAATTGTTGCGATTGTGTTGTTTCAAGGCTGTGGCCCCCTTGCAGCGCTCCTTGGAGATCCGTGAGACTGCTCTGGACCCCGACCACCCAAGTGTGGCTCAGTCCCTGCACCAGCTGGCGGGGGTGTACGTTCATTGGAGGAAATTTGGAAACGCAGAGCAGTTGTACAAACAAGCTATGGAGATTTGTGAAAACGCTTATGGCCCTGAACACAGCACCGTCGCAAGAGAACTAGACTCGCTTTCACTGCTCTACCAGAAACAAAACAAGTACAGCATGTTTTTCTTCAATTCATATTCTGGTATGCTGAGTCTTTTGGTTTAGATCCTAGTGAGATGCCTTGTTTTCTATGTAGGGAGCTTCTTCTAAGGCAGCATCCTAACCACAATGATGCTGCGTTCACACCAGACGCAGCATGCACAGATAAATTGATTCTCTATTTGCACGTAAATAGAGGCATGAACATTTTGGGTTTACTCGCTTCATTCATGCGTCAAATTCACTTATAGATGAGGATTCGCGTCATGGGTGGGGCTTTATTAAGATAGTAGCTGTTAGGGCTGCTCGATTATGGGAAAAATCATAATCACGATTATTTTGGTCATATTTGTAATCACGATTATTCAAAACGATTATCAGCTGAAGTCAAAAATATTCGTCCTCCAGTGAATTTATTTTTGTATATGAATATTTCCCAAATGATGTTTAACAGAGGGATTTTTTTTTACAGTATTTCCTATAATATTTTTTTCTTCTGGAGAAAGGCTTATTTGTTTTGTTTTAGCTAGAATAAAAGCAGGTTTGAATATTTTGAAATCTATTTTAATAGCTCGATATTATTAGCCCCTTTAAGCAATACATATGTTTGATTGTCTGCAGAAGAAATTACTGATATACAATGACTTGTCTTATTTACCCTAATTAAGCCTTTGAATGTCACTTTAAGCTGAATACTAGTACCTTGAAAAACATCTAGTAAAATGTTATGTACTGTTATCATAGCAAAGATAAAAGAAATGAGTGATTAGAAATGAGTTATTAAATCTATTGTGTTTAAACTGTGCTTTAAGCATCTTCACTGTATTTTTTAGTTTATTATTGATTAATAATAATAACAGTCGGCAGCAGCAGGATTACCGCACGCTGTCACTTTAAGAATAGTGCGACTGTGATATGGTTTCTATTTCACGTGTCTTTTGATTCTCAACTTGTTAGTTTATTACACAAATGAGGGTTAATATTAATAATCACTAAACACCGCGCTCTGACACAAATGTGCATGTATTTGACCATTAAAGCGCTCACATTAAGATCGCGTTAGATGTGTGTGTGCTGTCCGAGGCTAAGCGCGGCGCGCGCGCAAACACACACACACGCTACCTGTCAGAGGCTAAGCACGGCGCGCACACGCACAACAGTACGTGCTCTTTTGCGCTTTTAAAATTATAAATGATGCGCATCCCGTGCTGCAAAAGTTACATTACAGCACATGCGCCTTTCGTAATTTTCACGCAGAGGCAAAGAGTTTTCACACGTGTACAACTGGAAAGGGGGCGGTACGTGATGGAATAATCGTTTATCTCGATTAATGGTTTTTCATAATCGTTAAAAGCCAAAATCGAAATCGGATTTTCGATTAATTGCACAGCCCTAGTAGCTGTGCTTTATGTGCTTTAGGAATGCTGAAAAACAGCGTAGATTCGTTCGGCGCCACTAGATCCTTTCAGATGTGCACCCAGCTCTGTGTGTTCATTAACTCCTCCAGAAACTATACCTGGATGATGAAAGCATTCAGCTGTGCAGTTTGATGAACTGTTGTCCGGTGTCGGCAAGAGGATTTCATCTCGGGACACCAACAACAGGCACTACGTCATAATCACTTCCCTACAAGAGCAAACTCATGAATGCAGTGCGAATGTCCGCTGATGTTTAGATTTTCCAACTCGTGCGATTCGCGCAAAATACTTGTTAAGCTCAAATCGCATCATTCGTGCCACCTCGTTCGCATGAATTACACCGCAGGATGTCTATTCGTGTCTTTGCATTGATTTAATATGTAAATCACTCACGCTTGATGCTTCATCCTCATCCGGTGTGAACACAGCATGAGGCTCCAATAACGTCGAGCACGAAAGGAGCCTTTTTAAAATGGTTTTCTTTTGACAGCGGGTGTTTTAACTTTGGGTGTTTTATTACATTTTAGTTGGGAGTGCTCAGAGCTCTTGCAGATGCTAAAGTCAATTCTGTGCAGAAAATTCACCCAATGTCATGGGCTCCAGCACAAAGACTGTTGATACATTGTTTGCCTAGCAACATAAAGCACAGCATGGCACACTGCTCTTTTACCAAAGTCAACAAGAATGCAGTGTGGTGCTCCTTGCATATTCCAAATTGATAAGCACATTCGATAGGACTCTAAGGAGTTCTGTAATTCGTTTCTAATGGTTGTTTTGATCTGGGTTGGTTGGATAAGACCAAACTAAAAGTTACAAAACTAAAGATTTTATGATGCATATATATTTATGATATTGCAACAGAACTTGACAATCATCCAAAACAGTCAAACCCCACACCTTAATGTGTATGAAAAAGGGCTGATTGTGATTTTTTTTCCAGATACTGATTCACAGAATATCTACAAAAACATTTATTTAAAATAGAAATCGACATTACAAATGTCTTTATTATCACACCTGATCAGTTTACATCTTTACCAAATATAACTATTATTTTTACCTTAAACCTTTGAATGGTTTGATATAATTGAATGATATCAAATATACGTTTGATCAATATCAAATATAAAGTTCAATATAGCAAATATATGTTTGAATAATTTACATTATTCTTGCAGTCCATTTCAGGATTGCCTTAATTAACATTGGGCATATGATGCGGTCTTCAGCTTTAACTAAATTGAGCAGATCATTTTTTCTACCTTTGCTTAAGTCAGGATGTCCAGACTCAGTCCTGGAGGGCCGATGTCCTGCATCGTTTAGTTTCAACTTCCTTCAACACACCTGCCTGGAAGTTTCTAGTAAACCTCGAAAGAGCTTGATTAGCTGGTTCAGGTGTGTTTAATTGGGGTTGAAAC